GTAATCCATTGGAAATCAAATGCGAGGAGTGCCATTCAGCTGAACTCGACATCAACTTGATCGCAATTGGGGATGCATTTATGGTTGCATTATTTTTCGGTAAATACTTCGGATTCCCAATAGTGCCTGCATTGACTCTGGAAATCCCAGCGTTCAAGATATGCGGCGATTTCGAAGAAGAACTGACGTGCGGCGACAAATGCTGTGAATCCGAGGACGCAACGTGTACAATTGCTGATGATGGAAAAGGGAGCTGTGACGAGCAATCTTCTAGCCCAACCATTCCAGAGCTGACATCCTCCTGGCCCTCTACTTTCCCTCCAACGGCCGATCTTTTCAAGACTGCGAGGGGTACATCCGGTAGGGCAAACTCCATGAAACGTGAATTCATGAGTGCACAGCATGCTAACAGTTATTTTCTTCCTCATAGACCCACATTTCAAAACTTGGAACGGACGTTTTAGCTACCAGGGGGCTTGTGATCTGGTCTATGTCGATACTGATCTAATGACGGTGCATGTTCGAACAACTTTGTCAGACACTCGCCATTTCTCGTATATCTCTGCTGTGGCAGTCTCCATCGGTGGCGACCTATTTGAATTTCATGCAGATGGCACATACTTTGTCAACAAAGAAAAGCCAATCGATTTGCCCGGGGAAGTTGGAGGCTACCCGTTAGTGGAAACCTCAGGAAAAATTGCCATTGACCTTTCGAATGGTCAATTTTTGCGACTTTCAACTTTTAGCAGCACGATTACAGTTGATATCAGAGGGAATGCTGACGACTTCTCGGACAGCAGAGGAATCATTGGCTCTTTTCAAGAGGACATGGCTGTAAGGCGAGATGGCAGCCTGTTCGATGGAAATAATGTAGAAGAAATTGCATCTGAATGGCTGGTTGATAGCTCAGTGGGAGATGAGCTACTCTTCGTTGAAGGACCTCCCCACGAAGGCTGTATGGAAGCTACACCGTTCACCAGCTCTGATGCGCAAGAAGTCGTAGCGCAACAAGCTTGCTCTAGATTTCAAGGTGGCGCTTTTGATGATTGCGTCTTTGATGTGCTTGCAAGTGATGGTGATACCGAATGGGCGCGGAATCCAGGCTTTAATCTAGTACAGGAAACTCTCGTGGAGACTCTAGAGAACGATAGATGTGACTCGGCAACCGTTATTCCGTTTCCTTACATTGTGACTGACAGTACCATTGGAGCGTTGCCGGATGATGTTCGCTTTGTCCACTGCGGCAGGTCGTATCCTTCCACCAATGGCATCTGGTACAGCTTCACAAAGGATACCAGTGGGCTTGTCAGGGCTCAAATTGATACCGAAAGCAGTTCCTACCCTTTGCTTCGCGTTTATAGGGGCAAGTGCGATTCTTTGGTTTGCATCATTGAAGCTTCCAGGTTCAGGGAGTTGGACGTGATCTGGCCTGCAGAAGCGGGAGTGACGTACCAACTATTGGTGTCTCATTCAAGGTTTGGAAAGGAAATCGATTCATTTTCTTTGTCAATTCAAGATTATGAAGTCCCAGAGAATGATACCTGTGACTTGGCAGCCCCCATGTCGCTTCCTTACAGTACGACTGCGAGTACTGTTGGCGCGCTGCCCGATTATGAAGTTGACTCCAGCTCTTCATCGCAGTCTCGTATCCCACCCAATGGCATATGGTATAGCTTCACAGGTAATGCCAATGCAATGGTTAGAGTCCAAATTGATGCTGAAGCCGATGTGAATCTCAGAGTCTATCGTGGCGAGTGCAACAATTCTCTGACTTTGGTCCACCACGGATATACCTCGCGTGGAATTTTCGACGAGTTTTGGATTACAGAGGCAGGCGTGAAGTACCAGCTCTTGTTCTCTGGGAGAAGATTTGGAGTGGGCATAGAGTCATTCTCAATGTCGGTTCAACAATATGAAGTTCCAGAGAACGACGCGTGTGACTCGGCGACCATTGTTTCATCCTTTCCATATTCCAACACGAATGCAAGTACTCTTGGCGCGCTGCCTGATTCGCGAGATAATAACGAACGCTTCTGCGCTTTTTCGTACCCTAATGTTGCCAATGGGATTTGGTACAGCCTCACAAAGGACACCAGTGCAATTGTTAGAGTTCAAATTGATGCTGGAGTTGACGATGAACCACATCTCCGTGTATTTAGTGGCGAGTGCGATTCCCTTGGTTGTGTTAAGGATGGATTTGATAATAATTTTGGGAATGTGGACAGGGCTTGGTTTGCAGAAGCTGGCGTAAAGTACCAGCTCTTGATCTCTGAAAGATTTTACAGAGTTGGCATTGAGTCATTCTCATTGTCAATTCAAGATTACGAAGTTCCAGAGAACGACGTGTGTGACTCGGCTACCATTGTTTCCTTGCCATACAATAATGCGAATGCCAGTTCTGTTGGCGCCCTTCCTGATTCTGATGATACTGTCCGTAGCTGCGGTGCGACGTCCAATGACCCTCACACGACCAATGGCATCTGGTACAGCTTCACAGCTGAGACTAGTGCAATTGTTGGAGCTCTCGTTGATGCTGGGTCCTCTAATGATTTGCTTCTCCGGGTGTACAGTGGCGAGTGCGATTCTCTGGTTTGTGTTGGTTCACAGCTCAAATATTCCGGAAAGGCAGAGGTGGTATGGTTTGCAGAGGTAGGCGTGAAGTACCAGATCTTTGTGTCTGGATATTCGTTCCATTTGGGCATAGGACTACAATCATTTTCGTTGTCAATTCAAGAATACGAAGTTCCAGAGAATGGAGCGTGCGACTTGGGAACCACTATTTCATTGCCTTTCACTGCGGAAACCAGTTCCATCGGCGCACTGCCTGATCACCCTGATGACCCAAACTGCCTTGATTTCAACAGCATCCCAAATGGTATCTGGTATAGCCACACAAAGGATACCGCTGCAATTGTTAGAGCTCAAATGAATGTTGGGGTTAGCATCGATACGCGTCTACGCGTGTACACTGGCGAGTGTGGTTCTCTGGATTGTGTTGTTACCGCGGGGAGATCCGGTGTTGCAGAGGTCTTCTTTTTTGCAGAGGCAGGCGTGAAGTACCATTTCTCGTTCTCAGAGACTACGTTTGGATTGGGCATAGAATCGTTCTCATTGACAATCGAAGATTACGAAGTTCCAGAGAATGATACATGTAACTCGGCAACACGCATTTCGTTGCCTTACAATGGTGAAGGCAGCACTCTCGGAGCCTTGCCTGATCCTGATGACACTAGCTGCGCCACGTCGTCGACTACGCCCAATGGCATCTGGTACACCTTCACAGCTAGTACCAGTGGAAATGTCAGAGCTCGAATTGATGCCGCTTCCCGCTATAACACTCTCCTCCGTGTGTATAGTGGAGACTGTGAATCTTTGGTTTGTCTTTCTGTGAGAAGGTCACCCGGTGCGAGTGTGTACCGCGGAGATGTGGATGTGACTTGGTTTGCTGAAGCTGGCGTGAAGTACCAACTCTTGGTGTCTGAGCAATGGTTTGATGAACTGGGAATCGACACTTTCAGCATTGCCATAGACTTCCAGTAAACATATTGGAAATAAGACTGCATACACATACTACTTTTTTAATGTTGAAGAAGCTTCATTGCTATTCTGTGTTTGAGTGTGAAGTGTGCCACTCCTCCAAGCGCAGATTCCCGGACGGCGACATGAACTGATTGCACAAAACGAAGGAAGGACTGCGACCAACGTCATCAGCTGCTGAAACTCTTTACCCAAGCAGCTAATAAGTCGGGCATCAAGATTCCAAAAAAATTAGATGAACAATCAGTACCAATTTGTATTAGGTTGGTACCGTACTCATCAAATGGATGGCAAGAGTAAAGGTGAGGAAAGTGAAGTGGCTTCCTCTCAAGTGTAGTAGACCCATCCGACTACTTGCAGCCTGTCGTACGTAAGTGAGGAACAAGATCGCAATCAATACTGATGTACATCGTCACAAATCGAAACGGATCGATCATGATCTTTAGAACTACAGCTGTATCCACAGTATTATCTACATTATTATTGTTTGCATCACTCAGTACAAGTGTTATGGCTATGAAGACTGTTCTAGTTACCGGAGGAAACCGTGGAATTGGCTTGGCAATCTGTCAACGAATCTTGGAGGAAACAACAGATGTGAAGGTTCTTTTGGGTTCTCGTGACTTGGGACGTGGGCAGCAAGCAGCCGATTTCCTCAGCAAGCAAATTTCCAACTGCCAGGAGAGACTGGAAGTCATTGAAATGGATACTTCGTCAGATGAAAGTGTCAAGAAGGCTGCGTCTCAAATCGATTCCTTGTTTGGGATTATCAACAATGCTGGTGTGATCAACACTCCCTGCATCAACACAAACTATTTTGGGCCTCGACGTGTCAATGATGCCCTTGTAGGAGTTCTTCAACGTCCAGGCGGACGCATTGTTAACATTGCGTCAGCGTCTGGTCCAAACCACGTGTCTGGGCTGAGGGGTGAACTCAAGGAAAAACTGGCCAAGCCATGGACGATCAAGGGTGGAATCTCAGAGCTAGACGAACTTGCTCACACCTTGACCAAAACCAGTGACAACTACGGAACTAGTAAGGCCTTGGTCAATGCCTATACCCGTCTTCATGCCAAGTCAGAACCAGATCTTATCATCAACTCGGTCACTCCTGGATTTATTGCATCTGATATGGGCAAGATGTTGGGAGCTACCAAACCAACTGCCGATGGTGCCATTCCTCCAGTCAATCTTCTCTTGAATGAAGAATTTGCCAGTATTCCAACTGGAAGATACTATGGAAGTGACACCAAGCGCAGCCCTTTGGATGTATATCGAGGACCAGGCGACCCAGTATATGAGGGTCCAGATTGGGAGTAAGGATGAGCAAGGAAATAATCAATAGTAGCTACTTATACATACACATGGGTTCTATATCGTAAGGTATGAAAAATGATACGGGATGGAAATGGTATTCTTTAACCGAGCAACATAAAGACTGTGACAGACAAGATACTTGCCATGGACCACCATCCGTTCATCCGCCTCTTTGAGGTACTCGACGAGCTTCCGTAGCGGTACCCACCAGCGGATTCATCAGAATAGGCCCCACCATAGTCTCCACTACCAGATTCACCACTGTAGCAAACTTGCGATGTTACATTCCCTTCAATTTCTTGTTCCGCTTGTGGAAGAAGCTGCTGGCATGCCGGATTCTCGACGGTGACCAGTGCCGTCAGTCCTGGCCAAACCAACTGCGCATCAATGGCGATATTTCTTGCTTGTTCTTCAAAGGATGCAGTGGTACCCGCATTGGCTGTACTGGTAGTAAGATCCTCTCCCAATACCCGTTCAGCATTGCGATAGTCCAAGAGTTCCTCTATCCGAGCGTGTGCAAAGGCTTGTTCACAGTCATTGACAATCAAAGGAGGAGGGTTTGTACTTGCGCTGTCATTGTTGTCTAGGTTGGGCAAGGAAAGATCATACTGGTGCGACCAGTCTTGGTTACCAATAGCGGAAAGAGCCGATATGCTAGCCTGCAAAAAGCTCGAAGAGTCGGTTGGTAGTTCGGACCGAGCCACCTTTCCTCGAATGACCAATTCCGAGCCACTGGCCAAGACTGGAAAGCGAGAAGCTGTGGCATCTACAATGGACAATGGCAGCAAAGAAGCAGCAGAAGCAGCAGAAGCAGCAACAGCATTCGCAGAAGCAACACCAACGGAACCATCCTGTTGAAAGTAGGAAATGTCAATATCCGATAAGACAATCTGTTCCAATTCTTGTTTGTAAAAGTCTTCCATTTGTTGAACGGTATCATCAAAGCCTTCGTAGATTTGAAGGACCTTGCCTCCGTTTTGCAAGGCAATCCCAGTCAACAAATCCACATCGGCAGAACTGCCAAAGGCCAAAGAAAAGATCTTCACCTGGCCTTCCGAATTTGCCTCGCCAACATTTTTGGCAATGGAAGTACGGTCAGTGATACCCTCACTTGCCCCACCATCACTCAAAACAACCAGAATGGGTACTGAAGTAGCAGTAGAAGTGACAATATCAGTTGCCATTGATCGTGCATGTGAAATCCCATCGAGATAGGCATCATGAAGGTTGGTACTCCCGATCGTATTAAGGGATTGGACAAAGTTTGCAGCCTCTTGCTTGGTGGACGGATTGGCCACTGCTGGTCCCCATAGAGTTTCCGTTCCCAAAGTGGAAAAGGTCTGAACGGCAAAGGCATCCTTATTGTCGACTAGTAACGAAACCATGGAAGCAAAGGCCACCTTGGCATTTTCCAACCGATCCCCACTCATGGAACCGGAAATGTCAATGACAAAGACCATATTTTTGGCCAAGCTGCCCACCGTGGCCAAAAAGTCAGAAGGATTGAAGACATGGGTAAAGCAAAGTTCTTCCTTGTCCTCTTCTTGCAAGGGAATGGTAAAGACTCCAGCGTCCGGAAGAGAGGCTGGTTGAAAGTATCCACGGACCAGACGAGGAAGGGACGAGTCCTCTGCCAAGTTGCTCTCTTGGAAATGGGCCATGGCACGGTTGGAATCCACTTGAGTAACATTCAATGAGAGCTGGTTGGATTGTAACAGTCCTAGTTTGCGCACATTGCCAAGATCATCCTCATTCCAAAATTTCAATTCGACAATGCCCGCAGTGTCATCCTGGACCATAAAATCCAATTCCAAGGAATCTGAGACAGCCATACCAGGAAAGAGTGGCAGTTGAAAGGATACTTGATGATTCTTTTGAACGAGCAATTCGGTATACGTCAGCTTGACCTTCGTAGTAGACGATTCGTCCATGACAGCGGTGGTAAAATTAGCTGCATCAATAGTAGTAGTAGTAGTATTGGCATTGGACCTCCGTGGTGGCGGTGGCAGCACCACTTGCAACTTGTAGTTGGACATGTCCCATGCCGTCAAGAGAGCAGCTGGTTTGCCTTGGGATACCATGTCCTCAAAGGTATCTTGGGCTTGCTGGATTCCTTGAACTTGTGAATCCAATTTGCAGTCCTCCGAAAGATCCATTTCCAGACTTTGGACACGGGCCAATCGGGGAAGCTGCAACGTCATGGTGTGTATGATTGGTCCACATTGTGCTGTTGTTGTGTTTGTGTTATTCATTGTAGCAGTCATCGTCATGGTGTCATCATCATCATCAAGATCGCGACGACGAAATGTCATGTCAATTGTTGTCTTCAATAGCCGAGATTGCACATTCGTAGTCACATGATAGTGTGTCAAGTCCACCAAGTTGCTAGTATCTTCTGCTGCCGCAACCACAACTGCTGCAAAGATAACCAATTGACAGACGAGTGCCACTGCCATGCTGGTGATTGAGGAAATCATGAATCTCATCGTCTGAATTGTTTGTTTGATGGTCGAAAGAAGCGATTGTGTTCACTTTCTTCTTTTCACTTTTTTATGTTGAAAGGGTTCGTCTTGCCTTCATATCAGTCCAGTGTGAGACGTGCAGTGTTTCCATAGAGCATTTGTGCTGCGCTACTGGTATGTGTACCACTGTATTTTTATTGTATTTCAGAATCCCGCTTCGCCCTATTGTATTATTTGACATTTGTGAATCATGGTGGGATAATGCCGTCTGATGTCTGTCCGCGCATCATCATATTTTTTTAAAACACTCAGTTTTAGCGGTTTTAGGGGGAAATGGAACTCAAATCCGTAAACTGACCTCATTTTACGGTACTTCTTACTAAAATACCAAAATCAACCTATTTGCCCGTCGCCACGAATATCAACATCATCATCATTTCGACACAAAAATAAAAAATAATGCTACGACGCGGATGTATACGGGTAAAGCTTCCCGAAGAGACAGAACTCCAAGGATCCCTCACCTTCAAAAAAGGCAATCGAGATAAGACTTGTAGAGGTGGAGAGACTGCTAATTTTGTATTTCGCCCGTCCGATGGCTACCTGTCGTTGAGGACAAGAATTCAAACACTTGCAAGAGCACGGCGAGAAGGACAGCCTGCTCTTCCCCTTGGAGACAACTTTGCGATATTTTTCAAGCGCTGCAAGAATGCCATTCAATCTCAGTTGGTGGAGCTGACAGCGGTCAACTTTATGGACCTACTGAAATCCCGCTGGTGCAGGATCCCGGACTCGGACGTTACCACTGCAGTTCGAGAAACAACCTTTGAGTTTTTTGTCTACTACATACCACCACAAGTCCAGGCTGGAGATTCCGCAAATCCAAATCCAAATCCAAATCCAAATCAAGAACTAAGGCAAAACGAACGATTTGGAGCTGCGGGAGAACTTCCCGAAGACGTGGTAGAACTCCAAGGATCAGTCACATTCAAAAAAGGGAATCGAGAAGGGAAACCTCGAGGTGGAGAGACTTCAAATTTTGTATTTCGAGCGTCAGATGGTTACCTTTTATTGAGAGCAAGAGTCGTAACACTTGCAGGGCAACGAGAAGGGCAGCCTCCTCCACTTTCCGACGACTTTACGATATTTTTCAAACACGCTAAGCATGCCACCCAAAATCAATTTGTGGAGCTCACAGCGGCTAACTTTATGGACCAGTTGAAAACCCGCTGGTCAAGAATTACGGCATTGGATATGGCAACTTTTAACGAATCGAACACCACACCTGTGCGAGGGACAACCTTTGAGTTTTTCATCTACATACCGAGACGATCTCAGGCGCGACGGCGAATAAGAACGACCAAAAAAAATCCAAATCCAAATGGAAACCCAAACCCAAATCCAAACCCAAATCCAAATCCAAACCCAAACCCAAATCCAAACGCAAATCCAAACCCAAACCCAAATCCAAACCCAAACCCAAATGCAAATCCACCACATCCAAATCCAAATCCAAACCCAAATCCACCAAATCCAAATGCAATTCCACCACATCCAATTGCAACTACAAATCCACCATATCCAAATCCACATCCACCACATCCAAATGCAAATACAAATGCACAATATCCATATCCATATCCAAATACAAACCCACCACATCCACATCCATATCAAAATTCACATTATCCATATCCGTATCCATACCCGCCCTATCCCTTTCCACGTCCACGCCCAAATCAACAAGAGACGCAAAGGCAAAACGAATCTGTAGCACCGGCAAGAAACAACAACAATCTAGAGCTTCTTGGGGATCAGGCGGCGGCAGCTGCAGAGCGACAACCACCCAACGCCAGCTTCATTAGGCCTATTCAAATAGAGCTGAATGGAACCATGGTGGAGATTGGTGTGGACGTTCGGTCTCTTCGTAGGGCCCTTGGGTTTCCACCAGAGGGACCTATCGTCTTGATGGGAGATCCGCGTCATGCATAATCGAAGTATTCTAATACGTTGCTTGCAAGTGCATATTTTGAATCAATCATTCGATCAGGGTTTCCTATGGCCAAAGATTGAAGGTATTGAAAATTAGATAGCAATAGGACTATTTCTTTTTAAAAAACTAGTTATCTCATTGAGGACTTCCTTGATGGTGTTCTTGTTGTTGCTGGTTCCGTCTCCGTTGCTCAGCAGCCGCCAAGGCTCGTTCCCGGGCCGATGCAGCTGGATTGTCGCCACTACTAGTAGTACTACTAGTAGCACCACTTGTTCCTCCGCCCAGCCGTTGTTCCTTGGAGATTTTGGAAGCATACTCCTGATCCAATTCTCGCAACCGATCTTGAATGGGTGCCTTAATCATGATAGGATTAAGACCATGCTGTTGCATGTCCCGTGCCAATTCGTGTACCATGACTGGAAGAATGGACTCTTTGGACGTAATCACTCCATTGAGACCCGCCAATTCGGAAGTGGTCTTGCCTTGCACCAAACCCGTACCAGTATTCACCAAATGGTGGTAAAAATATTCGGCTCGCATCTGTGCAAAGTTGGTCCAAAAGACAAGATTGTGATCTCCAACCCAATTGTGGGATAATTCGTGGATCAAGGTGGCTGCCAATTCGGGATAGGGACGAAAACCCTTCAAATCATCGGTTCGCAGTTTGATGTCAATTCGGAGTCCACGATTGGTATTATAGCCCAATACTCGTCCACCTTCCTTTTCCTTATGGGCTGCAATCCGATCATCAATAGGATCCATTTCTCCTAATGTATTCACGACTAGTTCTCGTTCTTTCATAATGGCCACAATACCAGGATCCTTAGCCAATTGTTCCAACAAACGGATAGCCTCAAACGCATGGGGCGTCGATTCATTGGGCCGGTGACCAAAGGATTGCCACGTACAGGCTTCAAATCGAACAAATTTGTAATTCCTGTCTTGGACACCCAATGGTCCCCAAATGGAATCAAATTCTTGCTGTTTCGCCTTCTCTGCTAATTGTGAGAAACCTCTCATTAAGGGATCTGACTTTTTGTTGGCAATCTGCGAGACGGTATCGGAGGAAGTGGCCATGACTATAATTTTGGGTACTTTCTTGCTGCTATTGGGCTTCCAAAATGCAAAGACGGCTTCGGAAGAAGAGTCTTCTTTCAATTTCTTTCCCTTGAACAAGAGCTTCAATTCCACCGTCTCGTCCCATCCGTACGCTTGTCTTGCCTGAGCATACAATTCCTTGGCAGTGGTAGCTGTGGTGACGCTATTCTCCAGTGTCACAGATTGTCCCTTGAAGGATAAGCTCACGGGGAAAAAGGGGGCCTTCATGTTGAGAATGACACAATATTGAATATGATGATGAATCAGTCTTTTTTTGTGTTGCTTGGTGTTGTGTCTCTTCCGTTCGAAGAATTCACGTTTGTGACGAACTTCTCTAGTGTTCTTTGAACTTCCAGACGTTTGATTCAAGTGACTAACTATTTAGTAATTGAAATTACTAATGCAACTCCATCCATTGATTGCGGCAAACTCGATGGTTTTCATCTTTGGTTGAGTTGCTCTTTTGCAGCATGCATCTTCTTTGCGTTGCTGTGGATTTTGACATATGCAACAATCAGATACTTGTACGTCATACAAAGCTAAAGATCTCAATTTCTAATCACGGTATCCTTAGGTGCACCGTGTTGGTGGGGTTCGCGCACAGAGGTGCTCCTTCTCTGTTCCACCACCACTGTAGACAATCCGTAGGTTGTACCAGGCATGGTGCAGCTTATAAGCGTTTCAATGGGATTTGGGGCTCTGCTTGCGTGTGCTTCGATGGTTGAGACAAAAAATGAAGAAAGTATGATGTAAGCATCTGACACTTTCATTCTCACAATTTCTGATCTTGCTCATCTTGCAAATCTACCAAACCAACACAAAACACACAAACTACATAAACCATGCGCTCTTCTACTGCGGCCGTCCTCCTTCTTGCTCTCTTGCTCAGCGCCAACGCCGAAGCCGGCCAATGGCAACATTCACAAAACCGAAAGCTATCCAAGAAGTCTTCCAAGAAGTCGGCAACCGTTGCCATGGCCTCTGCACCTGTCGCCGCACCTGTCGCCGCTCCTGTCATGGCGACTCCAGCCAGCGCGTCCAGCATATCCAGCGCCAGTAGTGACGATACCCCAGCTGCTGCACCTGTCGCCGTTGTACCAGTTGCAGTTATGCCAGTGGCTGCCACCAGTTACGGTGGTACGCCAGTCTCTCAACCTGTCGCAATGCCCGTTGCAGAAATCACCTTGGCTACTGTCCCTGTCGCTCCAGTAGTCACAGCAGGCGCTGCAGCCGCAGATGATGATGACGATCTTTGGGACGACGATGCCGATGATGATCTTTGGGATGACGATCTTTGGGATGATGATCTTTGGGACGATGACGACTCTGATGATGATGACGCCTAAATCACCTCAGTGTGCAAGGATGTTTGGCATGGCTCGCTACATTGTCTGAAGCGAGGTTGTGCTGCAATGTGATCATTAGGGAGGTTCTCATCTCCCACCAGTGATTCTGTATAGTAGAAATAACATAAGCAGGTTCCAATTCAAATAGGATGATTTGACGTTCTGAAATAGTTTTTCGCATTCAGTCAAATTGTTCGACAAGATAGTTCTTCAATCGCGTCGCCACTACGTCGGCTTGCGCTCAATCGCCAAAACTACCTTTTTCACATGGCCGTTGGATCGTACCCGTAACGGTAGTCCCAAAACCAGAAAGTATGACGCAAATCTTTCGCCAATCTCACAATCTTTGATTTGCACATCAATCACACCAGATTGATCGATTCAATACACACATACACATATATCACCATGAACACCACTACATTCCTTCTCTTCGCACTCTTGCTCAGTGTGAACACACTTCTGTCTGTTGAAGCCAAGTCTATCCAACGGAAACTCACCAAGAAGGCCACCAAGAAGGCTGCTGTTCCTACTCCTCCACCAACACCAGCCCCAACACCATTCCCCACACCAGCCCCAACACCTCCTCCAACTATGATGGCCACAGTGGCAGCCACTGCCGCGGCCACTGTCGCAGCAGCTGGTCTTGATGACGATGATATGTGGGATGATGACGCGGATGATGATCTTTGGGACGATGACATGTGGGACGACGATGCTGATGACGATGATTGGTCATCGACGGACTAGACTGTGTCTGATATTTGCCAACGCGCCCGAAGCAAGAACATTTTCTAGCCTCATTCATGTGGGCAGTTCGTATAAGCAAAAATGCTAGACCGGGGGGTGGGTACTCCAAGATCCAATTTGAATGTACCTGTATATTAATAATTTCGAAATAATACTGTTTTCAAGGTGATGAGTGAATGTAAGTTTTTGTTTTAGACAATAGTTCAATTCACTGCACACCGGTGATCATACTACCACGCACAGCTTCGCCAGCTTCTCAGTCTCCCGAAGGCTAATATTCGATAGTACCTTCTTTGGTAACCGTATAGAAGAGAATGACCACGAGAAAGAATCAATCAATCACGATCAATGAATGAATCAATGAATGACATTGAATCGATCACATCAAATCAAGATCGTAAATCAGTAGGTATTGCAGTGGCGCGACCATAAATTTCTTCGTTGACACGTCATGACATTTCCTTTTCCCTTCGTGCACCAATATGGTGCACCGACAACTTTTCCCGCGAGAAACCATGACGCAAACGCGTCGATTCTTATGCGGAGATGCCACAAGTGCGCCTTACATGTCTCAGAAGCCATCGCATCATATGTGTCCCTGCTACGCTACGTGTGCTCCCACGTTGCACAAAAAAGTCGGAAAAGGCAAAACAATCCCTTCTGCTGAACAATTTGTGCTCACAATTTCTGATCTTGCCCATCTTGCAAATCTACCAAACCATATCACCACAGAACACACAAACCAAATAAGCCATGCGTTCTTCTACTGCTGCCATCCTCCTTCTTGCTGTCTTGCTCAGCGCCAACGCCGAAGCCGGCCAATGGCAACATTCACAAAACCGAAAGCTATCCAAGAAGTCTTCCAAGAAGTCTGCAACCGTTGCCATGGCCTCTGCACCTGTCGCCGCACCTGTCGCCGCTCCTGTCATGGCGACTCCAGCCACCGCATCCAGTGTATCCAGTGCCAGTAGTGACGATGCCCCAGCTGCTGCACCTGTCGCCGTTGTACCAGTCGCAGTCATGCCAGTGGCTGCCACCAGTTACGGTGGTACGCCAGTCTCTCAACCTGTCGCAATGCCCGTTGCAGAAATCACCTTGGCTACTGTCCCTGTCGCTCCAGTAGTCACAGCAGGCGCTGCAGCCGCAGATGATGATGACGATCTTTGGGACGACGATGCCGATGATGATCTTTGGGATGACGATCTTTGGGATGATGATCTTTGGGACGATGACGCTGACGATGATGACGCCTAAATCACCTCAAGTGTGGAAGGATGTTTGGCATGGCTCGCTAAATTGTCTGAAGCGAGGTTGTGCTGCAATGTGATCATTAGGGGGGGTTCTTATCTCCCAATCAGTAAATCTGTACATAGCAAACAAAATCAAGACTCTCGCGTTCTGAAATAGCTTTTTTTAAAATTATCTTTTGACACGACTCTTCATCTGCGGTCCGGCAAAACTTGACGTGTCGGCTCGCGTAAACATCGCTCAAATCCTTTTTTATATAGAATGAACATTTCTATCACCACCAAAGATTCATTCCGCGAGGAAAAGGTGACGCAAATCTTTCGCTGATCTCACAATTTCTGATTATTTCAAAATCTCACTCATTCGAATCATCATGCGTTCTTCTACTGCTACCATTCTCCTAATCGCTATACTGCTCAGCTCCAACGCTGAAGCCGGCAAGTGGCAACATTCACAAAACCGAAAGCTCTCCAAGAAGTCTTCCAAGAAGGCTGCAACCGTTGCCACAGCCTCTGCGCCCGTCGCCGCACCTGTTGCTAGCATGTCCAGTGTATCCAGTGTGAGTAGCGAGGATACCCCAGCTGCTGCACCTATCGCCGTTGTCCCAGTCGCCGTTGTCCCAGTTGCTTCCACCAGCTACGGCGGTACACCGGTCTCCCAACCTGTCGCAATGCCCGCTGCAGAAATTGCCTTGGTTAGCGTCCCCGTCGCTCCAGTGGTCACAGTTGCTGCTGCAGCCGCATATGATGATGATGATGATGATGACGACCTTTGGGACGACGATGCTGACGATGACGACGACATGTGGGATGATGATGATTCTGACGACGATGATGCCTAAATTACTTCAAACGTCTTTGGTGGCCCTCTCCAATACCTGTGATGGCCTCGATTGTTGTCTGTATACTGGTGCTAATTTTATCTTCCTAGTGACCGAATGAAGAACCTGTTGCATGTTTCGCTGCAGTTTCTAGGAGTATTGAAAAGACGAAGAGTTGCAGGAGAGGGAGGCTTTTTGACTCTCCTACGCTACAAATTTGAACAGTGATGATAAAAAGATAATTCATAGTCATCATGTCACATGAGTATTTAGTGTCTACTGGATTGAATACTACAAGCAGTTATTGAGCGATAGTGAGCATGAGTAGCAGAGCAGTTGTTACCGCACAGAAGGCGTGACGTTTGCACCTCCCACCTCCAACTATATCCAACGCTCGTTATTTAGGGGACAAAGTATTTTTACGGAGTATCAACGCAGGGAAAATGTCGTCGCTGAAATTTGCAAACTAACTTTCCGATCACTCACAATTTGAAATTTCACGTTGGCATCAGTAGCAACCTTTTGTCCACCGTACAATCAAGCAACAAAGTATACCATTATGCATACTTCGACTTTTACTATCCCGTTGCTTCTCTGCGCCTTGTTGGTTTGTGCCATGTATCTCGCTCAAAGCACGCCCAACGGCAGCAGTGCTGCTGCTGCTGGTAGTAGTAGTGGCATAATGAACAACAACAACAACAACAACAACAACAACAACAACAACGGTCCCAAGCAATACTTGAAGCGAAGACTTCCGAGGAACCTCTTGAATGAAAATGTGACCACAGATGTTCTTGTTGTCGCTGAAACTGACGACGATGCTGACGATGACGATGACATGTGGGACGATGATGCCGATGACGATGATGATATGTGGGACGACGATGCTGACGATGACGACGACATGTGGGACGATGATGCCGACGACGATGATGATGATATGTGGGACGACGATGCTGACGATGACGATGATGATATGTGGGATGATGATGCTGATGATGACGATGACGATGCCGTCCTAGATGCTGATGGTAGTAACTCCACCGACATCAGCAATGTGAATAATACTGCTGTTCCTGCTGAAAACATCACCGATACCAACATCACCGGCACCGACGCGACCATCACCGCGGTACCAAGCAACGCTACCCTCGTTGATAGCAATGCTACTACCGAAACCACCGATGTGACTGCTACTACAGCGGTATCACCGAGTAACGCTACAATTCTAGACACAAACGCTATCGAAATCACCGACGCCAACATCACGACGGCAACAAGCAACGCTACCCTCCTAGAGAGCAATGCTACCGAAATCACCAATGCGACTACCACTACAGCGGTACCAAGCAACGCTACAATTCTGGATGGAAGCCTTACCGAAATCAGCAATGTGACCACCACTACTCCTCCTGTTCCTATCGTTGCTGAAAACACCACCGACGTTCTTGATGTCCTCATTACTGAAAGTACCACCGACTCCAACATCACCGAGGCACCAGTAACGATTCCATCGAACGCGACAGAGGATGACGACGATGATGCCATGTGGGACGACGATGCCGATGACGACGATGATGACATGTGGGACGACGACGCCGATGACGACGATGATGCCATGTGGGACGACGATGCCGATGACGATGATGATGCCATGTGGGACGACGATGCTGACGATGACGATGACATGTGGGACGACGATGCGGATGATGATGATGACAATGCTTAAATTCATCATGGATCATCGCAGCTAGCTACTACCAGAGTGACTGACTCGTACGATGAAGACATTCTATTTAGGTTTCTTCGAGCACACTTGCTGATCGCGAGAGTCCAACATTTGAATCACCCGGCACAACAAGGGAACAACTTACAATGCTTCCCTTACTTCTTGCACCATGGAACCTTAACCTTACCTCCAAGAACCCGATAAACGTAAAACGAAATTAATCTCCACCTTCTAGATCATTCCCAGTCTCCCGAATTCAAGGAAAACAAGATCATGATAAATAGCTAATAGTAGGTCACTCATTGACGACATGTCGCGCTCCTATTTGTCATCTGATGTGATGGGATGATGGCCGGAAAGGTTTCATATGCATGGAGCAAGCAACTAGTGCATTGCATTGCATCCATTTTCACATCTTGCTAGTACGACCTACTACTAGCGTGAACACGACTAGTAGTAGAGCACATTTACAATTCCTTCCATCCATCCATAGCTGTTATGTTTTCCTTTTATATATAAATTTATTGCTTCTTGGATCTTAGTACTACTATATATTCTTGGTTATAGTGATGCAGATCGCAGTATAGCTACCAATAAGTAGCATGATCGGCCATGACACTGTGTTGAACGACAAGATAAAAGAGTGATATATGTACATATATTGGTGATCTCTCGTTCCATCCATTGTTATTGTATATGATTTGTCGTTCTATTTGTTATATGTCCCCAGCCCACATCCCAAATGTTTTTTTTTAAAAAAAAGTATTTTTGTTTTCAAGCAACAGCGGCACAGACAGTATTGCGTCGAGGTGCCCTTGGTATGACTTGATTATTGTATTGATTCAATGAAATGGCATGCCGCAGATGGTTGGAAATGGAAGACCTGCTGCTCCTCCTCCTACTGTTGTTGTCGTTGTTGTTGTTGTTAGTAACAGTGGTAGCAGGGTGATTCCTTGTCTGGCCCTCTTGTTGTGGTCGTGGTTGCTGTGGAATCTGAAGACGACGACGTTGTGTTTGCCGGCGAAACTGGTGTTGTTGTTGCTGCTGCCCCATTACCATCACCATTTGTTGTTGTTGTTGTTGCTGCTGCTGTTGCTTCACTTGGTGTCCCAACTCGTTGATCGTCATGACCGCATTGAAATAGTTGAGGACGCAAAAGTAGGAAGGAATGACTCTAATGTTAGAGCGCAGTCGTCGTTCTTGTTCGCGACAGAGTCGTTTGGTGAGATCTTGAAAGGCCAACCGACTCTTTTCGCGGACGTAAAACTTCATGTAATCGTGTTTGGAATAAAAGAGAGCCGACTTTGGGACGACAGCTGCTGAAACATCACTGTTGTTGCTGTTGCTGTTGTTATTGCTGTTGTTGTGATTGCAGAAAGCCCTTGAAATCTCTTGAACCTTCACCATAGGGTTAAAGCGAACACGTTTCCTTCTTCCAAAAGGTGGTTCTTGTTCCAGCGGGACCTGATGAATCAAACGTTGATTCTTCTGGTGCCGATGAGAGGAGAGATCCGGTGATACAGGTCTTGTAGGCGAGGGTGATAGCCGTAAGCGCCTGGAAGGTGGTGAGGCTGGAATATAACGACCTTGTGCTGATGCATGACAACGAGATGGGCTGGCACCCAGTTTTTTGTGATGATGGTGCACGGCATCAACATTGACATTGACATTGACATTCACAGTCAAAGTACACGTATCGACAGAGGCTTCTGAGCATGAGCAAGCTGCACTTTGATTCTCTAACTTTCGCTTCATGTTGCTAGTCTCTATTGTTGTAAATATGTATCAACTGAGTAGTTGATACAATGCGTTATGACTGCAAGCAATACTGCTGGAAAATAAAATGTGTTGATATGTACTGTATGATGATCAAAGAGCAGAAGCAGAGTAAATCTGTGTGAGGGACACGCTCTCCGACATTGTTTCGGAAATTTCATGTGCGCCATCATCCTACACCCTAAACAAATGACTGCTGCCGAACCTTCGCCTGATGCCCTTTACTTAGAGGCAAGCAATTTTTCACTGCGGTATTCGAATCCACTTCACGCAACGTCGTGACAAACCTGCACGGCGACAAAATTTCTCACGTTGCAGGAAAATTCGAAAATGAGAAACGCATCCAGCGGGACAACGCGCGTGTGACATATTCAATATGGATGATACATATGTACAGAAGTAGTGTTAGATTCAGCATGTACAGAAGTAGTCTTTCCCAGCCTTTTTGCATTTCCAAGTCTGGAACTTCTATTTTCGCATCATCGATGATCTTTGAGACCATGGCAAAATACCGGTAGGAAATAATTTGCCTCAGACTGGCGTCACCGCATCCTTCCTCGCTACCGAATCATTTTCTTATAATTTCTCTTTCTGTGTGTGATTTATACTATTAGGACTACACAAACAATCCAAACAAACAATCCAAACAATCCAAACAAACAAACAAACAATCCAACCAAACACACTTTCCGTTTCATCGTCTGAATGAAATTCTGGAGATCGTCATCACTCTTTCTGCCGACGATTGCCACCACCAACTCACTGTCATCAGCAGCTACCAACAATAACATCAAGAACAGCAGCAGATTTTCCACTACCAATAGCAACAAGACGAACAAAATGCCAGTCTACATTCATTCCACCTTTCGTGACGAAGACGGCCGACAAGTCTTTCCCAGAGGCCTCGAATGGGATGTCGATGGTGATTCTCATCTAAGCTTTGCCGTTCCCATTTTTGAAGATGCCACACCCGAAAACTTGGTCCAAGCCTACAATCGTTGGTGTTGTGCCAAGGATTTGCCCTACAAGACGACCGATGACATTTTGTCCATTGACCAACAAGGTTCGGATCATGTTCATGTCAAGTGGAAAAAGGGAAATCATGTCGAACAAGTGGTTCTTGGAGATTCTATTGAAGAATTGTTGAAAGCCGACGAAGCTACTACGGACGCAACTCAAAACAAGACGGCCGAAGTGTGGATCAATGGAGAATTCCAAGGGACTCTTTCCAACGACCCTCAAGACCTCCAAGCCATTTTGCAAAAAGTACCAAAGACGGCCAACAAACTGTGTTACAAACGTACCCCTACCAGAATCCATATTGATCGTTATTACACCAGCTATTTGCGCAAAAATCAAGCCTGGGATCATGTCTGGGACAATCTAGTGGCCTTGGAAGATCCCAAGGTGCTCGATGACCAAACCATTATTGGGACGGCCACACTCAGTGATTGGATCATGGGTGGTCAATTGACCAGTCGCATGTGGATCAAGGACAAGGGTACCTCCATACTCTTTCAGCGTCCATTGTACGAAGACGATTTGGATACCAGTGATCGACGATATGAAATCTCGGACCCGAAACGAATGGCCATGGTACGAGACGAATTGACCCGATTGCGTTACTTGGCCAAATTGCGGCACCCCTTTGTCGCAAAACGCATGGCCGAACGCAAGGCAAAGAAAGAAGGCGCTATTGACAACAAGGGAGAGGAAAAGAAGGACGAGGTCAACAACTACGACGATGAGCCAGCCGAACCTTTCGACAAGAGCAATTTTGCGAGATTTCTTGGATTCTGATCGTGATGAATGGATGCACAGTATGTCAACGAATGCATGTAATCAATGAATGAATGGATGAATGAATGAATCAGTCAATGCAAGACTATAAGGCCACTAAACCCTTGTCTAGAATTTTGTTTTCTCCCAAAACAATGGCAGCAAATTATTGTTATGTATACCACTAGGAAGACATTGTGTAGAATATTATAATATATGTTGTTGCATTACTGTTATTTCTTAAAATAGCTACACGAATCAATCAATCAATCAATCAATCAATCAACGAATCAACCACAATAACAACTACTTGCTAGTATTCGCCGTCACTTCCATGGTAAAGTCATAATTAATGGTTGGAATCATGGAACTGACAAACTTCAGAAAGATAAACAAGTACATTTCGACGGATGGTCCATTGTTCATGGCGGCTTCTTCACCATCAACATCCCCTTCAGTAGTTTCAGCAGGAGGAGGAGTGTTCTTCATGAGGTTGCGAACAATCGCCTTCATGACCTTGCCATGTTGACAAGGATGAATGGACGCATGGGGACCGGAAACGTGTGGATGAGATTCCATGGTAACAGTCTTGTTGGCATAATCGCTAATCACATCTTCCATCATTTCTTCTCCGGTCAAGGGTTGGTCTTGAGTATTGCGACCAATCATCCACACGCGGGGGGTTTGATAATACTTGTCATAGGTAATGCTCAAATCGTAGGTTCGGACCTTGATGGTGTGATCTTCATCATCTTTATCAGCCTGCTGTTGAGCAGGAGTGACGGCAGCCGCATCATCCTCTAGAATATTGTCGTCTTCAAAGGCATCCATGTCGGCATATTCGTCATCGTCCCCGTCCCCGTCAGCATCGGTCGTGGTGGGAGCCTCAGACTTGTCATTCTCGCCGCCTGCTGTATCCGGTGTTGGCTTTTCAATCACTTCTCCATCTTCATCCAACATATCAAATTCATCTTCTAGGTTCAAAGCCTTTTCAGTTCGTTGGATAATGGTAGAGACCAACCAATCATCGTCATCATCGCCATCTCCTCCTTCTGCCTGTTCCATCAGCATGTCGGATTCCATCGCCGAGACCCGGTTCTGACAGGGGACTTGTCGCGTCACTAGGTACTGCTTGTCGGCCGGCAGATACGATTTGCGCTTGGATTCATCGCCTGCTTCCCACGTCCACGTGGGACATTTATACACCAACTCGTCCCCGGCTTGGACGAATTCTTCGGGCGTCAAGACACCTTGTTCCAAAAAGGCAGACTTTTTCAAAGTGGGCATGGCCCATTCGCGGGCGGAGCGGAGAGAACCTAGTAGCGAGGACATTTTGTTGTGTTTTGCGTCTTTTTTGTCTAGTGCAGTGTAGTGTTGGATGGAGTTGTTTTTCTATACCGGTATTCCAGACAAGATTCAATCCGTTCTAGATTGTTTGTATTTTGTTTGCTGCGTCCGTTGGTACCTTTCTGGAAACTTCTTTTCTTGTGCTATCAGTAGAATCCCTTCACCTTGATCTAAAGTGCTATAAATAGGGATGAAATGCACAGTATCGCAATGAGAACGACCTTCAATGGTTGTTGACAGTTGAGGCCTGCTTCAATAATGAAATACGTTTCAATACTTTTCATTTCGAACGTTCCGTTCTCTCGTCAAAATTCGATTGGACTGACATGATTGACACGATGAAGAGTTCCGATTCCTTCGAATTCCGGATCGTTGGACACTAAGCCAGTACTATACATGTCACAATCTGGAATGCCGCTTTCCCATCCGCAGTCCAAACAGAAAAAATATTTTTACTCGGCTAGAAATAAAAAATATTTTTTACTTCTCTCTTGACACTACTACTTGAAGCCGTGTACCATTCTACGGCCAAGGATCGACGAGAGAAATATTTTTCTTTGGCGTCATCCTCCGAAGAAATATTTTTCGGCTGGTACTTTAGATTGCGTACAATGCTACAGGCAAGGATCGACGAGAGAAATATATTTCTTCGTACCACATGCGAAGAAATATTTTTCAGGTGGTACAACATGTACTTTAGATTGCGTACACGTACAATGCTACAGGCACAGGCAAGGATAGACAAGAGAAATATATTTCTTCGTGAAGAAATATTTTTCAAGTGGTACAACAGGTACTTTAGGTATCGTAAAATTCTACGGCCAAGAGAAATATTTTTCCCATCTTCAATCTCATCTCCAAGAGAATATTTTTCCCATCTTCACGAAATATTTCTTTCAGAGAAACTGGTACTTTAGTTTGTGTGTAATTCTACGGCCAAGAATCGACGAAAAATATTTTTTCTCTTCCAAGAAATTTCTTTGATCAACCTGTACTTTAGTTTGCGTTCAATTGTATGGAAGGACTTCACAGAAAATATTTCATGAATGAGCAGTGCATCGCAATCCCTATGTAACTGTCGACCACAAGATGTCTATGCATGCATCCATATGGTTGGAATGGTACTATAATTGCATGCTGTGCAACTGAAAGATTCAGGAGTTTGCTAAAAAACATTTTCCACCGGAAAGAAAATATTTCTGCAGTAAAATCCAGACTATGCTTGTGACCTCATTTTATTATTCTAAAAACTGGATGCGACTATGTTTGCAATTGGTTCATCTATGCAATCACCATTGGAGAAACTATTATTTTCCACCCTTCCGAGGCAAACCTTGATGAACGGCAAAGATTCATCTACCGTGGGTATGACTAGTCACAGACACAATTCCTCAGACAGGCATATGATCGATCAACGCACGTAACAATCAACAAACGCAGAGGTGGCGGATTCAGGGATCATCAAGTTCATTGTGTTCTGCTTTCCAGAAATGTGGGAATACAGGGTGCTGAGGATCGATTGATTCGTTGACTGAATTAGACAATCATCTTCAGTATGAACCAATACCAATGCCTATTTCTGGGTTCCTTCGAGACATGACGATGCTCGCTCGACAATTAATCATTCGCACAATATAAAGTATCTAACTGGACTCTTTCTTTCTTGGATCCATCAGCTTCTGCTTCATTTCCGCCTTGATGACTTGTTTCATCAGCCATATCATTTCACTCTTCTTTTCCGTTAAAGATTCCATCTTAGCATTCGCCGCATCGATCTTTTCTTGAATGATCTCGCTCTCGAGCTTCTTCTTGGCACGCTTGGCATCGGGCTCGGCGCCTTCCTCTGAAGATGCCTCTTTCTTGTCTTTCTCGTCCTTCTCCTCCTTGGCAGCTTCTTCCTTGGCTTCCTCTTCTTCCTTGCGCTTGCGTTTGCGATCCTCCTCTTGCTTTTCAAAAGCAACTTCAAATTCTTCCACAATCTTCTTTCGCGTCTCTTCTTCCACTTGCTTCATTTTTTCATCCTTCTCCTGGCTCAATTTGTCTTCCATCTTTTGTAGTTTTTGGTCAATCTCGGCCATTTTTTGTTTCCGAATGGCCGCCAACTTGGTGTCTCTGGTGGAAATGGCCCTGGCGAGCATCTCTTTTTGTTGTTCTACCTCGTGCCTTTGAAGCTGGAGTTGACCCTTCCAATGCTTGATCTGCGCAAACAGCTTGTGGGACTTGCGGGCCTGGCGCTTCTGTTTCAAATCACCACCATCCAAAAGAGTATGTTCCAAAGCGTCTTGGACTTCCGGAGGGACACCTGGAATTGGAACAGAAAAGAATTTGGCAGTCGTCTTGTCGAGTAGCCATTGGGGAGCTACGTAGTTTGAATTGTGAGAAGAGGAAGAAATGGTTTGCTTGAGCGGAGTGGAAGGCGAGGACCATAATTGGGACGGTGGCGGTTGAAGCAAGTTAATGCCACTGTTTTCCCCATTGCTGCCGCCGCTGTTTTCGCCATCACTTGCCTCTTGACTACTGTTTCTAGACAGCAAATGCTTGGGAGGACGTCCAACACCTCGAGCCATTATTGTGTGTTTTCTATTGCTTTTTGCTACCTACAGTGTGTACTCGTGTATGTTACGATGGTTGATGGGATTTCTCATACATACCTATGGTACGTGTACCGGGCAAAAGGCAGGCCGAAACAGGGGAATTGATTCATTCCCCCTTTCACTTTTATTTTCAATCACATTACGATTGATCAATCTTAAATCCGACTAGTTGCTATACAGTACGACTCAATCTACCTGGTACTGTAAATACTATTGTAAATCTAATATTTGCTTTTTATTATGTTTTTATCTCTAAAAGCATCCTACACAGGTGCTCAGGCCATATTCACTGGCTCCATCCATTCTCCAGGAGACGGACGGCGGTTTCTCCAGACAGACTTGTTGTTATCATCCTCCGATTCGCTGTCGGAGGCATCTTCCACGACAACCGTCACTTTTTGTTTCTTTTTACCAGAAGATCTCCTACGTTGACTTCCAGCGAAGGATTTGCGAATGGGAATGCGCATTGGTGCTGTAGCGTAGGATTCTTCTTCAGCATCATCATCAGTTTCTTCATCATCGTTGACACGAGGGAACCATGATGGAAGTGGCTGTTGCTGTTGTGGCTTTTCTTTTATTTCTTCTTTTTTAGGTTGTTCTTGTTCCAGCTGAACTCGGTAGATTCGTCCATCTGGACCACGAACCAATCGGTAGCTATCCTCCGATTGTTGTGGTCGTGCTGGAGTAGTAGTAGGAGCAGACTTTTTGGTGCTGCTTCGTCGTCGTGGTCGTCGTAGAGGTTGAGATCGAGGCTTTTCACCAACCTTGACCTTGTACAATTGTCCATAGGGGCCTCGCATCACTCGATAGACTGGCTCCATTTCTACCTCTTCCTCCTCACTCTCTTCCTCATCATCAGAGTCTCCACCATATCCATTATTGCCATACAAGTATTGTTGGACTTGTCGGGCTTCTTCGATTTCCCGGCGACGTTTCGCTGCCTCATAGGCTTGACGGTAGGCCTCTTCTTCTTGCAACTGACGGAGGTATTCTTGACGAGCTTCTGCTTCTTGGCGCTGAGCTTCAGCACGACGCTTTGCTTCTTCAGCTGCTCTCATTTGTTGAAGGTATCGTCGGCGAGAGGGTTGTTGGTATGCTGGTTGATAATAGTATGGATCACAATCGTATCCATCAAAGAAAGGGCTTGAAAACATCATGGTGTTCTGATTTGTTGTGTTGTTGTGTTTTGTTGTTTTGGTTCTGATCGTGTGTTTAGTTTTTGCAACTTGCAGATTTGTGAGCCGAAGATGTGTTTCACATTTTCTCAAACCCGCTATGAAATGTATTTGCACCTAGAGCAAATCGAATTCGATCGAAATATCGTGCACTTCACGCCAATCGTAATCCAATCATGTCGGAGCTAAAATGTCAGTTGATTTTCTGCGTGATTTACAATGGAATTCGACAGAAAAATGTATTTCTGCCGTGGAAATCCATTGCATTCGAAGAAGTCAAGTGCATTTTTGCAAAAGTAATACATAGGTACACTTGACTGTCATCACTACTCCAGTAAGAACGTGGACATCGGGATCATATCACACATGAAATATAAATAATTAAAGCTATTATCAAAGCGACGTTATATATCTATCCCCTAACTCATCTTTCGAAACTGGCAACAACGTTTCAGCGCATCCCGTGGCTTACTCTTTCCCCTTACTGCTGTTGTAGTTCTCGATAAATTCCTTGACAAGCTCCTCTCCCTCTCGCACCCACTCCGCCCGATTCGCCATTGCATAGTTCAAATACTCATGCGATGATACCCCAAACACGCCGCAGTTGTCCAGCTTCTTAGCCAAAGGGATCACATAAAAGTCAAAGAAACCGATCTCTCCTTTGTACCAGTTGATACTAGGATCGACATCTGCCCGACCCGACTTGTACGCTTTGTAGCATTCGCAAAAGAACTTTTCGTTCCAGCTCTTGTAAATGTACCAATGCTGCATTGTATGCGCTACGTCGGAGGCTTGGATCAAGTGCTCGATCACAATGGTCGCCTTGCGGTCCTGACTCTCTTCGGACTCCGATTCTTCAGAGGAGGACGATGCTGGTTCTTGAACCTTGTCGGAAAACGCAGTTTCCCAACGTTGCTTGCGAAGCGCTTGCAATTCCTTGTCCACAATGTCAGTAGCCATGACTGTGTTCACCACCAGCTGACGGAAACGCCGAAGCTCTTCTTCAGTCTGATAGATGCAGCTTCGCAAGGATTGGTACTCGTCTTTCATTAGAATCGTCCATGCAATGTCGACGCTATTCTGCTCCGCCACTGACTTGTTCTTGTACAGCTCAGCATTTGGAGCGCCTTCCTTCACCAATTGGGCGTTTGGTACACCTGGGTGATCCAAATCATGAATGATGGCGGAAAACACGACAGCAAACTGTGTCAGTGGATCGGAAGTAATCCCGTACGAATGACCGGCCAAGTCGACCATGTTCACTCCGCTGTTTCCATTCTGCTGTGTGAGTCCATTGCCACTGTCGACGTTGACGATGCGTTTGAGCAATTTCTTCACGGATGCGGTGACGTGGCTAAAAGTGCAATAAAATGAGAACGAGGCAAATTATTCAGTTAGATCGACAAAAGCATCAGTCTGTGCGGAATCATCGAAGGATCGGACTTACCTAGCATGTTCAAAGTTGTGGAATGGGTTGCTGTCTGTGTACAACTCGGCAATATTGGAGAGGAAGCGTCGTAGCTCTGACTTGATATCACTCCCTATGTCAATCGAGTTGTATCCATGTCGACTGTCGTTCAAATCACTGTCAGGTCTCTTCAAGTGAATGATAGGTACGAACTCTTCCAAGATGGTTCGACCAGATCGAATGTTGGATTCAACGACCTGTAGAGGCTTGATGCTCTTTCGAGATCCTCCTCTTGTAGCCACTATTTGCTGCAGCAGCGGGCTGAGAACTTCAACATTCCACTCGACGAGGCGCTCGATTTTGTTCATATTTTCGATGCCGTTCATGTCCAAAAGGTCGTCGCCCTTGTCTTTGATGTCTTCGGAAGAGCTGAAGGAGTCCTCTACTGTTTCTTCTTCGCTAATCGTCGAGTCGATTAGCTGAGTATTACTCTTTGTTCTAAGACGCTTCGAATCCGTTGAACGGAGCCAGTAGGTTTGCATTTCTCCCTTGCCTTTGACAAGGGTCTTCCGTCCACGAGGTATGGTCATGTTATCAAAGCCCCCTTCTTTCAGCAGATCAGCAGTGGTCTGTGAGATCTGAATGCAGCTCGCCCTTCCGGTACTCTCCATTCGAGCAGCTGTATTCATGGAGTCACCAAAAAGCTGGAAGCGACTGCGTTCGCCTCGCAATACACCGGCCGTCACTTGACCACTGACACAAAAGCGAAAGGTTGTGTTAGTCTTGCCGTCAGTTTGTTTGTCCAATATCGTATCGTATCGTATCGTATCGCATCTTGACTCACCTGTGAATCCCAACTCTCAGTCTCAAGCCCGACGTATCAGGACCGAGCGTTACATCGAGTTTCAGAGTAATCTCTTTCATCTTCTTCAAGCAGTCTCGAGCGAATTTGCACGCCGCCACTGTTTTATCAAAGGCAACAGATACGTGAGTAAAGTGTTTACTTCCACATGTACACTCATCAAATACCACTTACCAGCATGCTCTTTCATCGGCTCTGGCAAACCAGTTGCTGCGACGTAGGAGTCTCCAACCGTTTCAACTTTGAACACATTGTGTCGGTAAGCTACTCTATCAAAGGCTGCATAGATCATCTCCAGTAATGTGAAGACTTGTGGTGGCTCCCGAGCCGACGCCCACGCAGTAAAGCCAACAATATCAGCAAAGATAATCGTCACATCAGGGAACAAGTCTGCCATTGGTGCTCCCTGTGAGGTTCTGTCAGTTTCGCCGTCAATATCAAGGAAATCGGAGTCGTTTTCTTTGCCAATGCCATCATAAAGTCGATTCCGAATCGCCGTAGGAAAGACATTAGCAACAATTTGATCTTGCATTTTGATGCGATCCATAACTTTTCTCTGTTGAAGAGGTACGCATAGGTGAGAAATCAGAAGTCCATTCAAGGCATTGCTGTGAATGAGCGGAACAATTCTTACCTGTCTCTGTCCGACAAAATAATCATACAGCAAAAATACGAGACTTGTGAACGCAAAGATGGCAATGACCACTCCTGCATATAGGAATCGTTTGGACGTATAGAAGGCCTCCTCGAACTTTTCGGTTGGGTAGACGTGGAGTGAAAGTTTGGGAATACACTCACCACTGACAATCTTTGACGAATCAACATCAAGATCCACAAGAGTGGACGCGACTTCGAGAGAGTCAAACTGTGGATCATGCGCATCGTATTCGCCCAGAAAAGTGGCATCCGGTCCATTGATGTCGTAGCTGACAACATTTACCTCTTCCTCAGAGACACTTTGTTCATTGTATACATTCCACCTTGGGCAACTGTTCCGAAGAACAACAGTAATAGAATCCGTTTCCTCGTTGAACAAGTCTTCGAAGTACGTTGTCCATTCCAACGACAACCAAGCAACTGCAACCATTTCCCTGTCCTTTGCTGCTGTATCAACAGTCTTGAAAATGGGTTGCATGATCTGGCTTGAAACCAAAGGCCGAGATTCACCACCCTCCTCGATACGTGACTCCGAAAATCCGATGGTAGCATTTAAGGTAGCATTGGTGAGATGGAAGAGTTCACTGAACTGTTTGATCGTCATCAGATCAAGATTTGTGAACGACCGCTGTGAGTTTGGTTCGATCTCAAACGGATAGTTTTGCCAAATGGGCAAGGCCGTGTCTTTTGATATTGTGAAATCGTGGTTATTTTCTGCGTCATAGTAGTAGATCATTGGGGTAGTCTTGGCCATGAGTTCATCAACTGTCGAATTGTAGCCTTCTGTGTCAATAACATCTTGATAATACACTGGAGCATCTTCCATGGTATGGACTGCCCATTGCGCAAGGTCAGCCTCGTTGACCACAGGTAAGAAGAGCAAGAGCTGGTGGTACAGAGCTTCAGGCATACCAATGAGTTTTTGCAACGAGTGCGCCTTCGCCGAGAAATCACTGATGGTGACAAAAGGCCAGGTCTGGTTTGTTGATTTTGCTTCGGACGAAACGCTGATCGAAAACGAGTCCAAGGCACTGAAAAGTTGATCAGTCTTTTGCCCTGTCACAACAAGAAACTCTGTGGCAGAGCTATGGAACTGCAAGTAAAGATAATATGTTCCGTGAGCAGTCTGGTCTGGTTGATGGAGCAATCGTCGAAATCGATCTCTTACCTGGTCTTCAAAATCCTTTCGCTCTTGCTGCTCAACGAAAAGGTACGTTGCAGTAGCAGTTGCACAAGCTGCAAGAAATAAAAAAAAAGCCACGAATAGCTTCGATCGATTGACAGCCTGTTGTTCTCGCATCGCAACATCGTGGTCATGAATGGACGAATCGGTCTTTTTTCTGTCGCCATAATCGTCTGCCGTAGAAGAATTAAAACCGGACCCTGAAGCAACTGAGATGTTGCCATGGGTTTGACCGCTTGTGCTGCTTTCTTCTAATGTGTTCTGATCTTTCATGGTTTCTCTGTTTTATGATGAATCGAAAAAGTGGCGAAATTATTGTGCGAAATTATCTCCTGTAGACGAGCATGAATATTTTCGGACAAATCGTGAAAATGCAACCACGAAGTAGTTTACCATAAGTGTCTACAAGGCAACATTTAACGGCAAGTTTTCGTTTTGACGGAAGATGATACCGGACACCGTCCAAAATCGATGGGGTTTGTGAAATCCTTAAATCTGTGGTAACTTTTGACACACGCGGTCATTGTCATATCGAGGATTTGATAGCAGTTGATTCTCACATATGGCATTGATACCACAATCTTAATGCAAAATAAGTGTGCTTGTTCACATCAGAAAGATTTGATACATGTCAAAACCGTACACTCCACCATTGCACTTCAAGAAAGGAGGGCCTCTGTCTCTGTGCGGCAGAAGCTTTTCATGATGCATCAGAAACTTTGTGGTGCATAATATCCGGAAGAGCCTCGTCAATAAAAATAAAAGTTTGTGATCAATGCAGTTTCGTTGGGGTGGACTGTTTTCGGCTCTTTTTCCTTCGCGAAACAAGAGCCAGGAGTAATTGTGAAGACTGAGAATAGACCGACTTTTTGTTGGTCCCGCTTAGGGACAATCAATGATCGCAATGCTATGATTGGCTCGAATTACTGTACCGGTAGTGAATTTTAATCTCCGCCAGTCCACCAACAGAGAGTGAATGTGCCAGAAGAGCGTTTTGTCCCGAGTAACATGATCAAATTGAAAATGCGAAGCGGTCGTGATTGCTAACCCGGTATCGGTACATATCCACATTGAATGAGTATGAATAACTTTTTGTGGAAGTGAAAATGCATGGACTCCAGATAGCTTTTTCCTGATTGATCTATCTCTTGTCAAGGCAGCGCATCTGATTGTGTGACCCTTTTAAAACGAAGATGAGGATTGATGAAGACTTCTTCCATTGACTCACTCCACTGGCTCCTTCACGATCGTAGGCGAGAACAGCCACCCGAGGTTGCAATCTCCGACTAGTCAACAGTAGAAGCCCACCAAGGCATCCCCGTGTCTTTTGAGGTCCGCCTGGCGGTGCCCGAAATGGGTTGTTTTCAAATATGGAGGCAATGGCACTTCCGTTACTTGTCCAAGCAAGGAATGAGTCTTTTGTCGGCTTATTTCCAAACCATACCTTGGTTGCACTGGGAAATCTGGATCAATTCCCAAATTTGATGCCAGAATTGATTAAGATTCGCCTATGCAAAGTGGCACTTGGTGCCAAAACGTCAAAGTTGCCGTCTTATTTCAATCCGAGACAAACGCTTCGACAAGCTTCAGAGCCCTTCCTCCTTCATCGACATCATGATGGTCATCGTCCGACCACAGGCGATTGACGAACCTCTTCAACACGACAAGGATCAAGCTTTTCACAAAACATTCAGCTGAGGTCTCTTGAGGCGACTGATGGATTTCTCATCCTTATATTCAATGGCTTGTTTGATCATTGCATTTGTCCCCCACGACACTATTTTCGACGAGAAGCATGGCTTCTCTTTGCTACACCATTCCTTTCGAATATTAGTTCGAGTCTGCCTGGTATATTTTTGCATCATCTTATACCATTCTTAGCGTAAACTGTACGAATGATTGATTCATGGGAAGCCTTTCTTCATAGCGCCGCGATGTGGCCTATTTGGTTCATTTTGCTGTCAATCACTTAAAATGCCCGCAAAAAAATCTGAATCATTTCGTTTGGTTCCAAAGCGGCAGCTGATGAGAGTGGTATTCTTTATTGTTAGTCTCTTAGTCGATGTTGGTTTTTTATTTATGGTTTCATCTTCCAAGAGGCTCATGATAGAATAATATTCAATATGTATCATATCAGTTTAGGGCATTGATTTCAAGAAACACAGGCGGTCCTTGACTTTCAAATAGACTGCAAATCCGCTATCCGATGCTGTCAGACTGTGTGTCATGACTGCTGATGGCGTGGTAGGAGAAGATGAAAGAGCATAGCAAACACAATACAATAAAGGTATATACTGTGCATGTAATAAATATGGATGAATATACCAGCGGTAGGCAAACGTATAGACGGAAGAAAGAGGTCGAACCAATGGACTCAATAGTGACTCCATGAACGACGGTAGGGCGACCGTCATCTCAGTATTGCACCAGCAACCTATGTCCGATCTACACATATCGAACTTGTGTGCAAGTATACTGACAGAAAGATAGAGTTATTTCACACCACAACCCACCAGAGTCACTCCAAGAAACACCAAGCAGAAGAACCCGAAAAGAAGGCGCCAGTTGGCTATCTTCGATAGTAATCACGTTCGTTTCGAATCAGTCCTTCTAGTCGGACCTCTAGCTAGGAATTGCGAATTTGATGAAATAATACGGTATAGCACAACATCGTATATCTACACCGAAATATCTATACCCATCTTATGCCTTTAGATCCTAACAACAACGAAATTTCAGCTCCTTTAAATCAATTGCTTTAGTGTTTTCCCTCACTTTTGTTGTAGTTCTCCATAAACTGCTTCACAAGCTCTCCTCCCTCTCGCACCCACTCCGCCCGATTCGCCATTGCATAGTTCAAATACTCATGCGAGGATACCCCAAACACGCCGCAGTTGTCCAGCTTCTTAGCCAAAGGGATCACATAAAAGTCAAAGAAACCGATCTCTCCTTTGTACCAGTTGATACTGGGATCGACATCTGCCCGACCCGACTTGTACGCTTTGTAGCATTCGCAAAAGAACTTTTCGTTCCAGCTCTTGTAAATGTACCAATGCTGCATTGTATGCGCTACGTCGGAGGCTTGGATCAAGTGCTCGATCACAATGGTCGCCTTGCGGTCCTGACTCTCTTCGGACTCCGATTCTTCAGAGGAGGACGATGCTGGTTCTTGAACCTTGTCGGAAAACGCAGTTTCCCAACGTTGCTTGCGAAGCGCTTGCAATTCCTTGTCCACAATGTCAGTAGCCATGACTGTGTTCACCACCAGCTGACGGAAACGCCGAAGCTCTTCTTCAGTCTGATAGATGCAGCTTCGCAAGGATTGGTACTCGTCTTTCATTAGAATCGTCCATGCAATGTCGACGCTATTCTGCTCCGCCACTGACTTGTTCTTGTACAGCTCAGCATTTGGAGCGCCTTCCTTCACCAATTGGGCGTTTGGTACACCTGGGTGATCCAAATCATGAATGATGGCGGAAAACACGACAGCAAACTGTGTCAGTGGATCGGAAGTAATCCCGTACGAATGACCGGCCAAGTCGACCATGTTCACTCCGCTGTTTCCATTCTGCTGTGTGAGTCCATTGCCACTGTCGACGTTGACGATGCGTTTGAGCAATTTCTTCACGGATGCGGTGACGTGGCTAAAAGTGCAATAAAATGAGAACGAGGCAAATTATTCAGTTAGATCGACAAAAGCATCAGTCTGTTCGGAATCATCAAAAGATAGCACTCACCTAGCATGTTCAAAGTTGTGGAATGGGTTGCTGTCTGTGTACAACTCGGCAATATTGGAGAGGAAGCGTCGTAGCTCTGACTTGACATCATCCCCCACATCGGTCGAGCTGTATCTTTGCCGACGGTCGTTCAAATCACTGTCAGGTCTCTTCAAGTGAATGATAGGTACGAACTCTTCCAAGATGGTTTGACCAGATCGAATGTTGCATTCAACGACCTGTAGAGGCTTGATGCTCTTTCGAGATCCTCCTCTCGTAGCCACTATTTGCTGCAGCAGCGGGCTGAGAACTTCAACATTCCACTCGACGAGGCGCTCGGTTTTGCTCATGCCTTCCACACCGCTCATGTCAAAAAGGTCACTATCCTTGTCACCGACGTCCTCAGAAGAGCTGAAGGAGTCCTCCACTGTTTCTTCTTCGCTAATCGTCGATTCCATTAGTTGGTTGCTATTCTTTCTTTGAAACCGCTTCGAATCCGTTGAACGGAGCCAGTAGGTTTGCATTTCCCCCTTGCCCTTGACAAGAGTCTTTTGCCTACGAGGTATGGTCATGTTATCAAAGCCTCCTTCCTTCAGCAGATCAGCGGTGGTCTGTGAGATCTGAATGCAGCTCGCCCTTCCGGTACTCTCCATTCGAGCAGCTGTATTCATAGAGTCACCAAAAAGCTGGAAGCGACTGCGTTCACCTCGCAATACACCGGCCGTCACTTGACCACTAACACAACAGAGAAAGGTTGTGTTAGCCGTGCTATCAGTTTGTTCGTCCAATATCGTATCATATCGTATCTTGACTCACCTGTGAATCCCAACTCTCAGTCTCAAGCCCGACGTATCAGGACCGAGCGTTACATCGAGTTTCAGAGTAATCTCTTTCATCTTCTTCAAACAGTCTCGAGCGAATTTGCACGCCGCCACTGTTTCATCAAAGGCAACAAGATATGTGAGTCCAAACTGGTTCGAAACTTGAACATTAAGAAATGGAGCTAGTTACTCCAAGAAACTCATCAAACAGTAAACTTACCGGCATGATCTTTCATTGGCTCTGGCAAGCCGGCTGCTGCGACATAACAGTCACCAACTGTTTCAACTTTGAACACATTGTGTCGGTAAGCTACTCTATCAAAGGCTGCATAGATCGTCTCAAGCAAGTCAAAGACTTGAGGGGGCTCACGAGCAGATGACCAAGCGGTAAAGCCAACAATGTCAGCGAAGATAATGGTCACATCGGGGAACAAGTCTGCCATTGGTGCCGCACGTGAGGATCTGTCGTTTTCGCCGTCAATGTCAAGCGGATCGACGCGTTCCGAGGATTTGCCCATGCCATCATAAAGCCGATCCCGAATTGCCGTGGGAAAGACATTCGAAACAATGAGGTCTTGCATTTTGATACGATCCATGACTTTTCTCTGTGTATGACATCATAGTTGTTGGTGAGGAACAGGATTGCATTCAAAATTTCATCCGAGATATTGCTGTGAATGCACGGAGACAATTTTAAAATGCTTACCTGTCTCCTTCCAACAAAAAAGTCGTACAGCAAGAAAACAAGACTTGTAAACGCAAAGATGGCAATGACCACTCCTGCATATAGGAATCGTTTGGACGTATAGAAGGCCTCCTCGAACTTTTCGGTCGGGTAGAGATGTAGTGAAAGCTTGGGGATACACTCACCACTGGGTATCTTTGAAGAGTCGACATTTAGGTCCACGAGAATGGACGCAACCTCAAGAGACTCATATTTGGGGTCATGGGCATCGTATTCGCCCAGCACAGTAGCTTCAGGTCCATTGATCTCATAACTGATAACGTTCACCTCTTCTTCGGAGACACTCTGTTGATCGAATAAACTGTATCTCGGGCAGCTGCTGCGGACAAGAAGTGTAATTGCATCGGTCTCCGCGGTAAAGAAGTTTTCGAAGTATTGCGTCCATTCCATCGTAATCCAAAGAATTGCAACCAATTCCTTTTCGTGTTCCGTTGTCTCAACATTCTTGAAAATGGGTTGCATGATCTGGTTTAAAACTAATGGTAAAATGTCGCCATTCTCCTCTTTCAGTGACTCAAAAAGTCCGATGACAGGATTCAAGGTTGCACTAGCGAGATTGAAGAGTTCACTGGACTGTCTTGACGCAATCACATCAAGGTTGGTGAAAGTCCGCTGCGTGAATGGCTCGATCGCAAACGGATAGTATTGCCACATAGGCAAGGACGTGTCTTGTGATAGGGTGAACGCTTAACCATTTTCTTCGTCATAATAGTGGACCAATGGGGTGGTCAAGGCCATGAGTTCATCAACTGTCATATCGAAGGCCTCGGTATTAATAGCGTTCTGGAAATAGCCTCGAGCATCTTCCATCGTATGGGTCGCCCATTGTACGTGATCAGCCCCGTTGACCACAGGCAAGAAGGCCATAGTAGCTCCAGGTACGTCAATGAGTTCTGCAAACAAGCGTACCTTCGTTGAATAGTCACTGATTGTAACAAAAGGCCAGGATTGGTTTGTTGCTTTTGCTTCGGACGAAACGCTTACTGAGAACGAATTCAAGGCGTTGAAGAGTTGATCCGTCTTTTGCCTTGTCACAGCAACAAACTCCGTTGCATAGCTATGAAACTGCGAGTAATGATGACATGCAAAGTCAGCAACCTGATCAGACGAAAAGACAATTCATTGTCGTTCCGCCAATGAATCAATCACTTACTTGATCTTCAAAGTCCTTTCGCTCTTGCTGTTCAACGAAAAGGTACGTTCCAGCAGCGGATGCACAAGCTGCGAGCAATAGAAATAAAGCCACGACTAGTTTTGATCTATTGACAGCCTGTTGCTCATGCTTCGCAACATCTTGCTCTTGAATGGAAGAATTCGACTTTTTTCTGTTGTCGTAACCGTCCGCAGAAGAATTAAAACCGGATTCTGAAGCAACCGACATGTTGCCATAGGTTTGGCCGTTTGCGCTGACTTCCGTAACGCTGTTGTTGTCTTCTGTTATGTACTGCTCGTTCATTGTTGCACCTTTTATGTGGCTCCAATTCTACGAAGCACAAAAAGTGGCAGATGTGAAACTCCGCCGGACAATTAAAATGCGTTTTCTCTTCAAGAAGAAAAAACTCTACTGTAGGGACAAGAGTGAGAAAATCGTGAACGTTCCATTAAATATATAAATGGTTTCACGTTTACAAGTGGGAGCAAAACTCTTCTCTAGAAAGGCCGGGAACACGGGTCGCAATGGTCGGCCCCGGGTTCAAAGTCGGGCTATATTGTAGCTTGGAGAAAGGCAAATAGTGTTTTCTCGAGGATGCTATGAACAGGAAATAACTTGCTTTAAAATTCTGTAAAATGTCTATTTGGACCAAACGGGTAATATGGGTATCGTAGCTTCATCTCGCCCGCACAAAAACCCATCGGTACCGGCACGCGCTGTGCCGGTAGGTACCACAAGGGAACATATTTTAATAATATATCTACCGCGTGGCAAAGAGGCCTCATTACACCTAGACTGGTCAAACAGAAATCATGGGGCCTATTTCATTCATTCAAAAAAGTCTCAGTGCCAAACTCCTATTTTTGTGATTTCACAACGTTAAATGAGAAGAATCTAGTGCCATCTAAAAGCGAAAGACAGAAATCGATTTTCGGACGGCTTCTCTCTTGAAGCAGGATAAAACGCGTGTTGCCATTCCATTCATTACGTCTATCACTTGCACGCGGGAATGACAGTTTGCTTACTGTATTGATTCGGCAGGCCGGATAGCAACAACGAACTCCAGATAGTGTGAAATGATGTGCGATTGAAGCATTCATTCATATTGTCGTTGTGAACTGTAGGTAGCTTTTGAAAGCAGAAAGAATATGGTGGCAATACGATTGTGAGCTCTGGAGGCGAGTGGCAATAATATTTATGTCTTTTTCATTCATAGAGAGCAGTGACTGTACGATTGTTCACTGGCTGAGGTGCCCCTCTGTCACACTGTTACTTCCTTCTTCTTCAGGGCCGCATCAGTCAAAGTCCTTTCTCTTGAGTGTCCGGTTGGATCTGGGAAACTGTAGGCATTATGACTCCGCTTGCAAAATCATTCTGGAAAGGTCCGCCATGCATGATGGTCTCTGTGTAGTCAGACTCTCCAAAACGTTGTTTGCCACCCAATTCCTTTCGATGGTACTGTAGGACTTGTGTGGAATATTCATTGCCTAATAACACAACCTAAAACCTGGGACCTACGGTAGTACATATCTAGAGCAAAATATCAATAAAACTCCCCTATTATACCTTTAGATCCTAACAACAACGAAATTTCAGCTCCTTTCAATCAATTGCTTTAGTGTTTTCCCTCACTTTTGTTGTAGTTCTCCATAAACTGCTTCACAAGCTCTCCTCCCTCTCGCACCCACTCCGCCCGATTCGCCATTGCATAGTTCAAATACTCATGCGATGATACCCCAAACACGCCGCAGTTGTCCAGCTTCTTAGCCAAAGGGATCACATAAAAGTCAAAGAAACCGATCTCTCCTTTGTACCAGTTGATACTAGGATCGACATCTGCCCGACCCGACTTGTACGCTTTGTAGCATTCGCAAAAGAACTTTTCGTTCCAGCTCTTGTAAATGTACCAATGCTGCATTGTATGCGCTACGTCGGAGGCTTGGATCAAGTGCTCGATCACAATGGTCGCCTTGCGGTCCTGACTCTCTTCGGACTCCGATTCTTCAGAGGAGGACGATGCTGGTTCTTGAACCTTGTCGGAAAACGCAGTTTCCCAACGTTGCTTGCGAAGCGCTTGCAATTCCTTGTCCACAATGTCAGTAGCCATGACTGTGTTCACCACCAGCTGACGGAAACGCCGAAGCTCTTCTTCAGTCTGATAGATGCAGCTTCGCAAGGATTGGTACTCGTCTTTCATTAGAATCGTCCATGCAATGTCGACGCTATTCTGCTCCGCCACTGACTTGTTCTTGTACAGCTCAGCATTTGGAGCGCCTTCCTTCACCAATTGGGCGTTTGGTACACCTGGGTGATCCAAATCATGAATGATGGCGGAAAACACGACAGCAAACTGTGTCAGTGGATCGGAAGTAATCCCGTACGAATGACCGGCCAAGTCGACCATGTTCACTCCGCTGTTTCCATTCTGCTGTGTGAGTCCATTGCCACTGTCGACGTTGACGATGCGTTTGAGCAATTTCTTCACGGATGCGGTGACGTGGCTAAAAGTGCAATAAAATGAGAACGAGGCAAATTATTCAGTTAGATCGACAAAAGCATCAGTCTGTTCGGAATCATCAAAAGATAGCACTCACCTAGCATGTTCAAAGTTGTGGAATGGGTTGCTGTCTGTGTACAACTCGGCAATATTGGAGAGGAAGCGTCGTAGCTCTGACTTGACATCATCCCCCACATCGGTCGAGCTGTATCTTTGCCGACGGTCGTTCAAATCACTGTCAGGTCTCTTCAAGTGAATGATAGGTACGAACTCTTCCAAGATGGTTTGACCAGATCGAATGTTGCATTCAACGACCTGTAGAGGCTTGATGCTCTTTCGAGATCCTCCTCTCGTAGCCACTATTTGCTGCAGCAGCGGGCTGAGAACTTCAACATTCCACTCGACGAGGCGCTCGGTTTTGCTCATGCCTTCCACACCGCTCATGTCAAAAAGGTCACTATCCTTGTCACCGACGTCCTCAGAAGAGCTGAAGGAGTCCTCCACTGTTTCTTCTTCGCTAATCGTCGATTCCATTAGTTGGTTGCTATTCTTTCTTTGAAACCGCTTCGAATCCGTTGAACGGAGCCAGTAGGTTTGCATTTCCCCCTTGCCCTTGACAAGAGTCTTTTGCCTACGAGGTATGGTCATGTTATCAAAGCCTCCTTCCTTCAGCAGATCAGCGGTGGTCTGTGAGATCTGAATGCAGCTCGCCCTTCCGGTACTCTCCATTCGAGCAGCTGTATTCATAGAGTCACCAAAAAGCTGGAAGCGACTGCGTTCACCTCGCAATACACCGGCCGTCACTTGACCACTAACACAACAGAGAAAGGTTGTGTTAGCCGTGCTATCAGTTTGTTCGTCCAATATCGTATCATATCGTATCTTGACTCACCTGTGAATCCCAACTCTCAGTCTCAAGCCCGACGTATCAGGACCGAGCGTTACATCGAGTTTCAGAGTAATCTCTTTCATCTTCTTCAAACAGTCTCGAGCGAATTTGCACGCCGCCACTGTTTCATCAAAGGCAACAAGATATGTGAGTCCAAACTGGTTCGAAACTTGAACATTAAGAAATGGAGCTAGTTACTCCAAGAAACTCATCAAACAGTAAACTTACCGGCATGATCTTTCATTGGCTCTGGCAAGCCGGCTGCTGCGACATAACAGTCACCAACTGTTTCAACTTTGAACACATTGTGTCGGTAAGCTACTCTATCAAAGGCTGCATAGATCGTCTCAAGCAAGTCAAAGACTTGAGGGGGCTCACGAGCAGATGACCAAGCGGTAAAGCCAACAATGTCAGCGAAGATAATGGTCACATCGGGGAACAAGTCTGCCATTGGTGCCGCACGTGAGGATCTGTCGTTTTCGCCGTCAATGTCAAGCGGATCGACGCGTTCCGAGGATTTGCCCATGCCATCATAAAGCCGATCCCGAATTGCCGTGGGAAAGACATTCGAAACAATGAGGTCTTGCATTTTGATACGATCCATGACTTTTCTCTGTGTATGACATCATAGTTGTTGGTGAGGAACAGGATTGCATTCAAAATTTCATCCGAGATATTGCTGTGAATGCACGGAGACAATTTTAAAATGCTTACCTGTCTCCTTCCAACAAAAAAGTCGTACAGCAAGAAAACAAGACTTGTAAACGCAAAGATGGCAATGACCACTCCTGCATATAGGAATCGTTTGGACGTATAGAAGGCCTCCTCGAACTTTTCGGTCGGGTAGAGATGTAGTGAAAGCTTGGGGATACACTCACCACTGGGTATCTTTGAAGAGTCGACATTTAGGTCCACGAGAATGGACGCAACCTCAAGAGACTCATATTTAGGGTCATGGGCATCGTACTCGCCCAGCACAGTAGCTTCAGGTCCATTGATCTCATAACTGATAACATTCACCTCTTCTTCAGAGACACTCTGTTGATCGAATAAACTGTATCTCGGGCAGCTGCTGCGGACAAGAAGTGTAATTGCATCGGTCTCCGCGGTAAAGAAGTTTTCGAAGTATCGCGTCCATTCCATCGTCATCCAAAAAACTCCCACCATTTCCTTGTCTTCTTCTCTTGTCTCAACATTCTTGAAAATGGGTTGCATGATCTGACTCAAAACCAAAGGTACAGCTTCGCCATTCTCCTCTTTCAGTGACTCAAAAAGTCCGATGACAGGATTCAAGGTAGCACTAGCGAGATTGAAGAGTTCGCTGGACTGTCTTGACGCCATCAAATCAAGATTGGTGTACGTCCGCTGTGTCAATGGCTCGATCCCAAACGGATAGTATTGCCACAGAGGCAAAGCCGTGTCTTGTGCTAAGGTGAACGCGTAGCCATTTTCTTCGTCATAATAGTGGACCAATGGGGTGGTCAAGGCCATGAGTTCATCAGCTGTCATATCGAAGCCGTCGCTATTGACAGAGTTTTGAAAATAGCCTGGAGCATCTTCCATCGTATGGGTTGCCCATTGTACATGATTAGCACCGTTGACTATAGGACAGAAGGATATGCCAGCTCCAGGTACGTCAATGAGTTCTCCCAACAAGCGTGCCTTTGTTGAATAGTCACTGATTGTAACAAAAGGCCAGGATTGGTTTGTTGCTTTTGCTTCGGACGAAACGCTTACTGAGAACGAGTTCAAGGCGTTGAAGAGTTGATCCGTCTTTTGCCTTGTCACAGCAACAAACTCCGTTGCATAGCTATGAAACTGCGAGTAATGATGACATGCAAAGTCAGCAACCTGATCAGACGAAAAGACAATTCATTGTCGTTCCGCCAATGAATCAATCACTTACTTGATCTTCAAAGTCCTTTCGCTCTTGCTGTTCAACGAAAAGGTACGTTCCAGCAGCGGATGCACAAGCTGCGAGCAATAGAAATAAAGCCACGACTAGTTTTGATCTATTGACAGCCTGTTGCTCTTGCTTCGCAACATCTTGCTCTTGAATGGAAGAATTCGACTTTTTTCTGTTGTCGTAACCGTCCGCAGAAGAATTAAAACCGGATTCTGAAGCAACCGACATGTTGCCATAGGTTTGGCCGCTTGCGCTGATGTCCGTAACGCTGTTATTATCTTCTGTTGCGTACCGATCGTTCATGGTTGCACTTTTTGTGAGGCTCCTATTTTTTGTGCGTACAAAAAGTGGCAAATGCGAAAAACAAAATAGTCCCCTCCGGACAAAAGTGTTTCGTCTTCTCAGCACAAGTCGTGGAAATGATCGTGAACCGCTCCATATGTGGTGGTATTTTTTCACTTCAGTGGGAACAAAACGCCGCGTTCCCCCATTAGCGAATCCGTCCGAAAATCGTTTTTTTGGTATCGCACTGGATTCCATTTAACGTTATGAAATCACAAACATAGAAGTGTGGCTCAGACACTCGCTTCGTAAACAATGAAATTGAAAATGCTAAGCCCCCCGAATTCTGGTAACCGAAGCTATGGGCATAAAGCCTCCATGCTGCGGCAGATTGGGGATATGACATTTTATACCTACAGTGAGTGACCGGCCCATATACAAAATATGCCTCAGATGGACCGCTCACTGTTTGAGTTTTATCGGTTGCAAACTGGCGATTGATTCGCGGGACCCCCCAGAACTCGTCCGTCAATCGACCGGTTTCCAGAAATGAAAGAACTCGTCGATTTCTTTGACTAGAGAGGTGCCTAAAGTACGCTTGCATGTATTAATACCGGTACGAGTATACTGTAACAATTTTCGTCCTGAACCGGTCGTATTACATGTATTGACAGCGATATATGGGTACTGTATCGATCGTCGATGTAATGAAAGCCGCAACAGGCTTTACCATATTTCGTTTCAGGCAATGAAACTGATAATCATGGGAGTGATTTAAAATTAAAAAGATGACGGGTGTATGTAAGACAATAACACCGCTGAGCGGAATGCATCAGAAGTCTCCTCTTCTACTATATCATGATCATCATAGCCAGGCTGAAAATGCTGCTGCAGCCACTGGCCGCGACCGGATCCAGATTCGAAGCAAGAATCACATAATAATACATTATTATCCGGAGGGATAGAAAGCATTGATCCAGTCATTGAGAGCAGAACTTGCATAGAGCACGAACGCACATCATGTATGCGGCTCTGCACTTGGGGCTGTAGCGACGACTGCCAGCGTGTTAACACTACCGGTACTCTGATACGCGGGAAAACCCGAAACTTAAAAAAAATTTGAAACGGCTATCAGAATGAAGAGTTGTAAAAGTTGCAGAAAGGACGAACGAATTGCAGTCGCACTTTGAATGATGGATTTTCGGATCTCCGATCGGGAGAATGAAAAATTCAACGAACAATGCAATCCAAACAAAGAGCTCGAGCAAAAACTGGTGAAAAGTCTTAAAGGAGAAAAGCTTGCTACACGAGACCAAGTTGTTGATGAAGTATGAAAATGAACAACTAAAAAAGCTACTTGTAAATAGCTCGTCACATGTCGGAACATTCTGCTGTAGTGGCAAACTACAAAGCCGAGATTGAACGACTAGACCATGAAGTTTCAAATCTTCAGAGCCGCGTGTCATTGTCGGACGAATCATCATTTACATCATGCCCAGACATAGAAGCATTGGCACGAGGCTGTTTATCGGAGTCAACTGAATGGAAGCGGTGTACAATGAAACTGCTTGAAGACCGACCAAATTTTGCTTCGAACAATTGAAGAATTGAAGCAAACACTCAAACAAGTCTGAAGTGGAACAGCAACTCTATCTTTGTGTTTTTGCAAAATCGAACAAAGTCGAAGTGAGTCTCAGCTCGGCCTGTCAAGCGGCAAAGGCTCAGGGCGATAATATTCCACGACTGGTTGCCGAAATGGAACAACTGAAGCAGACAATTTCCAAGATGGAAGAGAATCATACTGAGGAGATGGAAGGGATGCAGGAAGAAATGGACTAAATGAAAAGGAAGCATTTCATGGAACTGGGTTTCACACAATCAAAGCACGACAAAAAGCACCTTGAGTCCATTGCTAATTCTGAGGTTTCGGCATTATGTCATATGCTTTATTGGGCGAGAAACTTGGCGTCGCCATGAAAGCGACTTGCTAACGATAGCGTGGCAATGAAGAAACAGGTCAGTCTTAGCCTGGCCGCCAAGCGACAAATATCGTGAATCAAATACGACTGGTTGCCGAAATCGAACATCTGAAGCAGACCATTTCCAAGATGGAACAGAATCATTCCGAGGAGATGGAAGGGATGCAGCAAAAAGTCGATCAAATGAAATTGAATCATGCCACGGGACTGGGGTTTTGCGCAATCTGATGACGACAAAGAAGCTACGAAGGAGAGGAGATTTGAAGCAATACTCGTATTAAAACACTACATACAGTATTGTATAAATACCTACCCGATAGCAATCAATCTAAAGCTATTTATTTTAGTCGAAGGGGTCGTACACTAATTCTCAGTTTCAATACAATTGAATTTTACCGTGATTTTGAGTTGTCATCTCGCCCCTTCGCATACATTTTATATTTGCAGAATCGTTACACATACCGGTATATATCATCACAAACATAACACAAACCTCCATCTACTGTATAACATCACCTCACATATATATACGACCGCGATTTCTTCCCGATTGCTCTGAATGGGGACTGTACCATCGACGTTACTAGACGAAGCAAACAAGGACCAAACTAGTGATCCTATTGATTGTAATTGCAATAAAAGCAATAGCATAACCGAACCCAACTCGATCACTCATCCTACGACCAACAAGCGAACGCGCGACGTTACTGATACTGCCGAATCATCCATAGCTTCTCCCAAACGAATGGACGGTCATAGCAGTGGGGCTGCCGGTAGAAAGCGGCCTCGTCACGAGACTATACGAATCCCCCTTTCTCCAACCAAACAAGTTGAATCGTTCGCACTGATGGATGGACCAGATGGCACTACTAGTGCTTTTGAAGTCAATGAGTTGGAAGCACTGCGTCAATAAGTGAAGGAACTAACCGAGGATAAGAGATACCTGAAGCGAAAGTTGATAGATTCCAGAAGCGATTTGGATATTATGAAGGAAGATATTTCGAATAGTGATCGCAGGAGGAAAGAAAATGAGCTGGAAATGCAAGCAATCAAAAGCCAACACGAGAGATGTCAAGAACAGTTAAGAGCTCGTGAGACGGAGCTTAAGCAATTGGATAATACTAGGCAAGGGACTACCACGACGGACTGGAAGAAACAATCAGTGTTCCAGGAGGAAGGACAAAATCTGAAGCAGGTTTATTCGAAGAAGCTCCGCGTTCTACAGGGCGATGGTGATCACATAAAACGAGTCATGCTTTTGAGTTATCGACTTGCTCAGCTGCAATCAAAGACCTGCGGAAACAATTGACTGACGTTTTAAAGGAGAATGACATGTTGAAGCGAGAGGTTGTGGAGAAGTCAACTGCTATCCAGTCTATTGAAGAGACAGCGATGAACCGCCTCATCCGAGAGAAAGAAATCACGAATGAAGTAATCGACTCACGAAATCGATTGATTAAGTCAATGGTCATGAAAATCGAAGACAGGAATGAAAATATTGAGCGACTCAAGCACGAGAACGGGAAACTCATGTCGATTGCACTTGATGTTGAAATGAATACGGCACTGAGGAACCAGGTGGCCGCATTGAAGAGCCATGTGGTTTCTCTGAATCAGCAGTTGCAGGAAACGAAATATGTAGCAACAACATACAAAACTGAGTTTGAACGACTAAAAAATCAATTGGCAAACATCCAGAGGCTCGAATCGTCCTTCACATGTCCTGACATTGGAAGAGTGGCACGAGAGGGGTCATGGGGGTCAGCTGAATGGAAGCGGTATGCAGCGAGACTGCTTCAAGACCGAACACATTTGCTGGGAACAATTGAAGAATTGAAGCAATCTGCCGAGACCAACAAGTCGGGTGTGGAACAGCAACTCCGCTCAATCTTGCAAGAATTCAAGGAGAACCTGGACGAAGTCGAAACAAGTCTGAGCACGGCCCGTCAAGCGGCAAAGGCTCATGCCGAAAATAATCAGCAACTGGTTGCTGAAAACGAAGACCTGAAGCACACTATTTCAAAGATGAAAGAGAATCACTATTCGAACCAAGCCGAAACAAGTCTCAACTCGGCCCGTCAAGCGGTAAACATCGGATGCGAAACGAAGCAGATACTGGTTGGCGAAATCGAACAACTGAAGCAGAACGAAAAGTGGAATCAGGTCAAAGCAAGTTTCCAGTCGGCCATTGAAAAGAATGAGCGACTGGTTGCCGAAAATGAAGACTTGAAGCGGTTCATTTCAAATATGGAAGCGAGTCCTCACTCGACTACTCAAAGGAATGAGCGACTGATTGCCAAAATCGAAGAGCTGAAGCAGACCATGTCAAAGATGGAAGAGAATCATTCCGAAGAGATGGAACAAATACAAGAAGAAATGAATCAAATTAAAATGGATCATGCCATGGCAGTGGGCCTAGCACAATCTGACGACGATGACGACGACGAAGAACAAGCCATGTAGACAGCCTGTACAAAACATTATTATGTGGAAATGAGATTGATTGATTAAAATAATGCAGCTTCCGGTATGATTAGTCTTCCTACTCTTCGCTAGTTTCCTCTTTGCTAGCTGGAGCTGCAGCAGCAGGTTCCTCTTTGCTATCATCTGAAGGACCAGCAAACTCTGTCTTATCTTTGAATCCTGATTCACCCTGAAAGCTTTCATATCTCCCCCCACTGCTCTTGAAGAGCTCGGCAAAATGAGGCTTGCAATAAATTTTCCCATTGATCGCCGCAAGTCCCTTGATGCTGACTGTTTTGCCACAGTGGGTGCATTTCATACAAGCTTTGTGATAAGTCTCCCCTTCAAAGTTGACCGATTCCATGGGATACACGCGTTTTTCACACACGGGACATATAACCTTTGCGGCTCCAAATTTGGGTGGCATGATGGTGATATTTGATAAAGAGTCTTGGTGCTTTACTGAGAGTACGCGTAGTGTCTTTGATTTCAGTTCTGATGATTCTTCGTCGTCCAATTGACGTTGATGAGGCAGCAGCAGAGATGCGGAGAAGGTACTGTAAATTATGGGCGGTCATTGAGTTTTGGTTTCAAAATTTCGTCTAATGTAGTCGAAGTGGTCCATTTTGGTTTTGGACGGAGGGCGGGCGCGGGGGCGACGTATGTACTGCTGAGAAACCCCTCATATTCAATATTTTCCCCAAAATAAAACTGCACGAGCAATCCTCGAAATTTCCCAAAGACAAATGTAAGAAAAATGCACAAGCAATTTTGCAAATCTTCTCATCGTCAATATTTTAAAATAACACAAAGATCTTATTTCTCGTACACTTTCTACCACAGAAACGCCATTTCCGTATCAGACGGATAGAAGATCCATTACCACACTCCCACAATTCTCAATAGGAGGATACAATAACAGATTCATCGCGCTATCATGAGAATCTCTCTCTTTTCCTGGTTGCTTTCCTTTCTCTGCTTGGCGGCAACCGTCCAGGCAGCCTCCCACATGGGATCGGAAGCAGCCTCCCTGAAAGGCTACCTGGTGGACAACAAGTGCCTGGAACTCTGTGCCAACACCCCCGAGGGCACAGCCTGTGCTCCGGACGGGACCAATCCCGTTTTCGAGCCAGCGAAACATACTGGTTGGTGCCTCTTGCTCCAGGTTTGCATCGACTCTGGATACTCCCTCGTTTCGCCAACTCCAAACCCTGACACTGGGAAGCATGATGTTCTTCTTGGATTTTCGGGAGAGGAAGCTCAGGCAACAATTTTGGAGTTCATTCAGAAAGGAACTTCGGGTATGTTCCCACTGGTGGAAGTTATGTATGATAACGATAAAATGATGAACACAGACGGCGTCCCTGTCGCTTCGACCAATGTTGTCGTCCAAGATCCTTGGGCTACGGATGACACCAAATACACTGGTGATGAAACCTACCAAGTGGAATGTCTCGATTCTACCGCTCCTGACATCGCTGCCAATAATATGTGCTACCGATCGGATGTGGATGTTTCGGTAGAAGGTGATGTGATCACCATTGAGAGTAACGGATGTCCTGATCATGCCAATATGGCTGGTAGCAAGGGTACCATTGCCAACTCGCAACCCGATCCAACTCCTGGTAATAATGGCCAAGGCAGTGGTGGCTGCGGAACTTCTGGTGGCTGCGGAGCTTGTGGTGGCGGCTGTGGCGGTGGATGCGGAGCTGCATCCACTGAACCCAAGAATATCGAAATCGAATGGACCGTCACTGCTTACGAGAACATTACTGCTTATGTTGGAGATACTCTGACCTTTACCTACACGCCCTTCCACGATGTGTCCATGCAGAAGGCATACGACTGCGACGACATGGACAGTGTCCTTTTGGCAGGCGTCGACGATTCGCCCTTTGTCTTTACTTTTACCGAAGAACACATGCCACTTACAATCTTTGCATGCCAACAACCAGGTCATTGTGCGGCCAACCAAATCATTGCCATTGAAGTCAAGGAACACGAATGGAAGTGTGGTGCCGGATGCGGTGCAGGATGTGGAGCAGGTTGCGGGGCTGGCTGTGGTGCCGGATGTGGCGCCGGGTGCGGAGCAGGTTGTGGAGCTGGCTGTGATGCCGGATGCGGAGCTGGTTGTGGAGCTGGATGTGGTGCCACTTGTGGTGCCACTTGTGGTGCCACTTGTGGTGCTGGATGTGGAGCCACTTGCGGTGCAATGAGGAGACTACAGACTCCCAATAATACTAGTTGCGGAGCAGACTGTGGTGCCGGGTGTGGAGCAGGCTGTGGTGCTGGATGTGGAGCAGGCTGTGGTACTGGATGTGGTACTGGATGTGGTACTGGATGTGGAGGCTGCGGTGCTTGTGGAGGCTGTGGAAGCTGTGGAAGCTCCCAGAATGATGGCAACGGCTCCGGTGATATTACCCCTCACTATCAACATTACATGATGACCATTCCTTCTGATCCAGGAATGCCCGGTGAGGCTACTTATTTCCAAGGGGACGATGTCGTCGGATTAATGTCCAATGGGGTTCTCCTTGATAGCCATCAAGCAACATGGGCCTACGATAGCTGCGTTGGGCATTCAGATCGCAAGCACCAATACCATTACCATATCCCACCTTACTGCATGCTCAAGTCTATGGGAATTCCTGTCCCAGACACACCCGATTGGTGGACCAATGACGAAGGCACTGAAGTTCGTGCTTACGGAGACATGGCAGCTCAATTCCCAAGCTCTTCCTCGAACACCATGGTATCTCAAACAACAATCTCTTTTATGCCAACCCCAGTCATTGGTTTCGCTCGTGATGGTTTCCCTATTTTCGGCCCCTACGATGACAAAGGAACGTTGATGACTTCTTCCGGTGGCGATCTCGATGAATGCAACGGCAAAACGGATAGTAAGGGCAACTACGGTTACTACCTAACCGTAGATCCTCCATTTGCACCACCTTGTCTCCGTGGTGAAATGGGCGTCTTTAGTTACATCACCACCGACAAGACCTGTCCCGCCGAAGGTATCGATAACACCTTTTTGACTCAGTCTCAGATCACAGCATGCGAAAATTCTGAGTCCTTTGAAGAGGCTGCTGCCTGTGTGGGTGCAGGGGATGGAAGCCGCGGAGTGAGCGGAGCGAATGGCAAACAAACTTATTTGGTTACGGCTCTGGCCCTGGTCGTCGGTGTCCTTTCGCTTCTTGTTGCCTAATTTAGGATTATAATATATTTTTAATTGTTATGTAAAGTCTATATCTGTGCGTGGTTTCATTCTCAATGTAGCCTCTATAGCTGTTTATCCATCCTGCCTTGATCGATTGGAACTAAACGGGAACACGACTTGCCCTATACCTGGACACCTTGCCAAGATCCATGGCTTTTTGACTTCAGTATTCTAGCATGAATGCTGATTTTCGAATGAATATAGTCCAGCTTCAAGAGAGCGACAATGGAAGAGGCCGACGAATCAGACCAATCAATCGATATATGAATATGCTAAATCCAGATCTAACAGCACCATTTTTTTGGGTAAGAGATTGAAGCAACTTTCAATTCGGACGAGAATCCTTTCGAATCCTTTGTCAAATTACGCTTTTGCATCGCATCCGCGCAACGATCAACGATGCTTGACGGATTGATCGATTCATTCATCATACCGCCAATATCAATGAAAGCGTTCAAGTCTCGGTGTTTTTTTCATTCGTTGGTGATCTTATTGTACAAGTCTTCCATCTTCTGTCCGATTCTCAGGGTTTGTAGTTTCACTTTGCGATTGGATGTATCTTGTCGTGGTGTGGTGTGAAATTTTGTGACGTATCTTTTGTCAGCGAAACGGAGTCTCTCTAATTAGAGAAATGGAATCAAATTCCGAAGTCTAACACCACGTCAGAAATGTAGATGCCATTATACTTGTATCCGTATCCATAGATATCGATATGTTAAATACCTCGAAAATCTGCCTTGTTCGCATTTTGGATTGAAATTCGTCGCGTCATTCACCGACATCTTCAGTGTCAACTAACTATCTTCTTTTGATACGATACTTCAATACCTACCTCCAAGAAAGTAGCGCTTGCAGTCGGACAGAAAAAAAAAGATTGCTTGACAACATACCGTACTGTAGCTCACAGTTCAACCCGAAGCCTCAAGTACACCGACAGCTGAATCACCACATCCATCACCTACCTACACTAATCTGATCCTTCTCCTTAAAGATAGTATGAAGTTTCCAAGATCCAAGATCCTGCAGCTTCCATTGGCAATCATGACGACGATGATGATGATGCCAACGACTGTGGTTTCCTTTGCTCCTTCTCTTCAGCGAGGGGGAAAAGTGAGCCGTCATTCCACACAGGCCATTCGGTTTTCCACCCTGTTGTTTGACAAGAAACAGAACAAAGACACCAGCACAACAGATCGTTCCGAGCTCGTGGATGCCAACCAATGGCTCGAGGCGGCGGTCTCCTCTACCTTGAAGACAGGCGGCTTTGATGAGTCCTCCTTCTTGGTGGGTATCTTGGGGGATTTGCACATTGATCCTCGCAAGATGGAGGATTACGAAGAGGGTAAAAACGACTGGAAACCCATTTTTGAAGCCGCGCAACAAGCTCATGGCAATACCTGCCTGGTCAGTTTGGGAGACTTGGGCGAATCCAAAAACTGTGATCATAACGAAGCCAACCCAGCCGAGCTATTTGCTGGTACTACCTTGTGCCATGAAATGGCCGCCGACTTTTTGGGCAACATGGCGGAAGGAGTACCCTACGAAGTGATTGGCGGCAATCACGATTTGGAAGGAATTGACGAGTTTGATACGGACAAGGAAAACTTGGAGGTCTTTATGAAAACTCACGGCAAGCCAACTCCACACTTTTGTCGCCAAGTGGCGGACAAGACCTTGTTGGTGGGCCTGGGATCGACCGTCTTTCGAGATGCTCCATTTACGTCGCACGAAGTCATTGTGGATCAAGCTCAAATCGATTGGTTTGAAAATTTGCTCAAGACACATCCCGCCGACGACGACTGGAAGATCTTTGTCTTTACCCATGCTCCACCGAATGGGTCTGGACTCAGAATTATTCAAGAAAACCATGTTGTCAATGGCTGTTGCTGGCTGAACCATTCCAACGAAGGCCAGTGCCGCAAATTTATTGAACTAGTGAGAGAACATCGATCCATCAAGGCTTGGTTCTCGGGACACTTTCATTTGGGACAAGATTACCAAGATTCCATTACCTTTCCTACCATTCCCATGGAAGAAGGACCATATCCCAATCGAGGATCCTGTGTCTTTGCCCAGACGTCAGTCATGCGCAAGGGAACTGCGCGAGATGGTCGTCAGCAATCTCGATTGCTACGAGGCAACAAGGATGGCTTTGAAATTTGCACGGTCGACCACCAAGCAGGGGGCAAGATTCGATTGGATGCTACCATAACCTATCGTGACAACAGTCACGAAGTAGGAATCTACATGCACGACGACAAGGCCTACGAGCACGACAATTATTTCAAGGTCTATCAACCCACCGAGGGTGATTTGCAGTTTGTCTGTGGAGCTGATACTGACGAAGTCTGTTCCATCACTGACGACGACCCAGTCACCATGGAGACCAAAGCTTGGTGGAGACTGTCTAGCAACAGAGTGTTGGGTGTCCTGAACGGCATGTTGCTCGAGTACGACCAGTCGACTTTGGCACCTTTGGGACTGGTCTTGACGAAGGAAGAATTGTTAGGGAAGAGCATCACAGTTGTCGACTCTGGCATTGAAGAATGTATAGTTGATGATTTTGACGATGAAAATGAGGGAATGGAAGGAGCTGAACATTGCATCAAGGAACGGGAACAAGCCGTCTTGGTGCATGACTTGGAAACGAATATTGTCACCATTGTCCAACCGAATGAGGATGGATCGTATTGGCGAAAAATTGTCCGTAATAAGATTGCTCGCATGAAGGAAAAGCGACGAGAACAAGCAGCCATTCAATACATTCAGGAACGAGCTGGAATGGACGACAAAGAAGCTAAAAAATCGATTCAATCGACATGGGTAAGTACTTCTATTTTTATTACGAGAATGGGCGATAGCCGGATGCTGTGTGATATCAGAATCTAACCTTTTCTACCATCTCTCTGTCAACAGGGACCTTATACAAGTACCTCTGGAAACGCACTGTAGTATTTTTTGCTTCGTCCAAGAGGGACACGGAGTCTGCAGTCATCTTCTTCCTCTTGTCGGAACAAACTAGATTGAACAAGATAATACCGTTCACTTCACATGGCATTTCCCGTGAATAAATCAAACATTGTAGATTTTCATTTCAGATATTGTATCCTCTGCTGTCCTATTATTAGTTCAACACTGGCGGTTCCACCCCCACACTGGTCAATGAACGGGACGATGGATTGTAGCGTCACCAACACATCATCTGCTGGTCCACTGCTGTTGACTTCTCAGAGTTCTCGGCGAGGAGGCTACAGCAGTAGATCGGCCTTCTACGCAGTCAATCCTCAACAAATCCGATTGCATGATATCATCACCGATGCTTTGTTCACTCCCCTGAACCAAGATTCAAGAAGGGACTGCAATGGCAGCTCTTGTCTCTAGAGGTAGAGGGAAAAGTGCCTCAGAAGTACATCCTATTTTAAATTCTGATTCCGAAACAAATTCTTATTGTTCTTCGTTGCTTCTATGAACCGCACAGCGAAGCAAGTGGATATAGTAGTGCTGTCTTTGTTCCAAAAAGTGTCGCATGGTGCATCGACTCTTTGCGCTTGGGATTGAAATTCGCATTCTACAGTGCTTCCAAAGAACCTCAAAGAAGATTGAACTAACGATAAGTCACGCATGTCAGATCGGAAGTTAATGCCTTTTACTTCGTATCTGAAGCAAATATATATGCAGTTGTAGAACAACTCGACGATATTTTTTGCTCACATTTGGATCCTATTTCGTCACCGTATCTGTCAAATTTGAATTGATGGGTAATCAGAAGGAGCGTTTGTACTAGGTGGTATCGAAAGGAATAGAGATTCGAAATTGTGAAGACGCAACAATAAGCTCACAATATTTCAAATCGACCTTATTGAAAGGATCTAACCATCAGCGAAAGCGACAAGTACTAGTACGTCTATTGCTAATTCACCATCTACTACATAGCACTTCAACAAATATTATAGCCACAATGACGATTTCAAATTCCAAGATCCAGCTTTCATTGGCCATCACCGTTATGATGCTTTCAACAACTGAGGTGTTTTCCTTTACTCCTCCCACTCTGCGAAAACGACAAGTAAGTCTTCGAACGGAGACAATGCTTTCGACTCCCTTCTTTGACAAGAGCGATGGCATGACCGATCGTTCCGAGCTCGTGGAGGCCGAACAATGGCTCGACGCGGCTGTCTCCTCTACCTTGAAGACTGGCGGCTTTGATGAGTCCTCCTTCTTGGTGGGCATATTAGGTGATTTGCACATTGATCCCCGTAAAATGGAAGACTACGAAGACGGCAAAAAAGATTGGAAACCCATTTTTGATGCTGCCCAGCTTGCCCACGGCAATACCTGCCTGGTCAGTTTGGGAGACTTGGGGGAATCCAAGAATTGCGATCACAACAAAGACAACCCAGCCGAGCTCTATTCTGGTACGACCTTGTGTCATGAAGTCGCGGCAGACTTTTTGAGCAACCTCGCACCGGGAATACCATATGAAGTGATTGGTGGCAACCACGATCTCGAGGGAATTGACGAATTTGCTACTGATGAAGAGAACTTGGAAGCCTTTATGAAGGCTCACGGCAAGCGACGTCCACAGTTCTGTCATCAAGTGGCTGACAAGACCTTGTTGGTCGGGTTGGGGTCCACCGTCTTTCGAGATGCCCCTTACACTTCTCATGAAGTTATCATCGATCAAGCCCAAATCGATTGGTTTGAAGATTTACTCAAGAATCATCCAGCCGATGAAGATTGGAAGATCTTTGTGTTTACCCATGCTCCACCGAATGGATCTGGACTCAGAATCATTCAAGAAAACCATGTTGTCAATGGCTGCTGCTGGCTGAACCATTCGGATGAAAGTCAATGCAGAAAGTTCATTGAACTTGTGAGAGAACATCGGTCCATCAAGGCTTGGTTCTCTGGTCACTTTCATCTGGGTCAAGACTATCAAGATTCGATCACATTTCCCACCATTCCTGTGGAAGAAGGACCCTATCCCAATCGAGGATCTTGTGTCTTTGCCCAGACATCGGTAATTGGAAAGGGAACTTCGCGAGATGGTCGCCAACAATCTCGATTGCTGAGAGGCAACAAGGACGGCTTTGAGATCTGCACTGTCGACCACAAGGAGGGAGGCAAGATTCGATTGGATGCCACCATCACCTACAGTGACAATTCGCATGCAGTCGGAATCTACATGCATGACGACGCAGCTTACGAGCATGACAATTATTTCAAGGTCTACCAACCCGTTGAAGGCGATCAGCAGTACGTCCGTGGAGCTGATACCCAAGAAGTCTGTTCTATCACCGATAATGATCCAGTTACCATGGACACCAAGGCTTGGTGGAGGTTGTCGAACAACAGAGTCTTGGGTGTCTTGAACGGCATGCTACTTGAATACGATCAATCGACCTTGGCACCTTTGGGACTGGTCTTGACCAAAGAAGAACTGTTAGGCAAGAGTATCACAGTCGTGGACTCAGGCATTGCTGATTCTGACGATATGGAAGGAGACGAGTGCGAACGAGAACAAGCTGTCTTGGTTCACGACCTGGAAACCAAGCAGACTACTATTGTTCAACCGAATGAGGATGGCTCGTATTGGCGCAAAATTGTTCGCAACAAGATTGCTCGTATGCAAGAAAAGCGACGAGAACAAGCGGCCATCCAATATATTCAAGAACGAGCTGGATTGGAGGAGAAAGAAGCCAAGAAAGCGATCCAATCGACCTGGGTAAGTTGCAAATTGGTACGACGGGCATATTCTTTCTTATCATCAGAGTCTAACTAAGTTCTACTCTTCCTCTTCGGATCATCAGGGACCATACACAACGACCTCTGGAAATGCTCTTCAAAGTGCCTAAATCCTTCATCCGTGGGCTCGATCTTTCATCCGCGTAGAAAGCTTCTTCCAAAACGACTATGCCGCATATTGAATATGAACTGTCAGAACAGACGAAAATGGAAGAAAGAAATACTTTTCGATCGACATGGCAGCTCGTCCTCGGCAATACATCAATTTTGTATATTTACTTTTTAGCTAGCTAGGTAGCAGCATCCTACGATCTTATATTTTTCCAATTCACACAATTTTCACGGAACTCTAGCAGGCTCGTTGCTATTACTTCGTCAGTCGTTGGTGGTGTTGCATGAAACTGAAATCTTCCTTCAGATGCCGGTATCTTTTGAAAAAAATGTTGAGAAGTCAAATCTTTTTTCTTCCCCATCACTTGTTTTTGAATTCCGATTCGGATTCTGATTCGGAATTCTGATTCTCGATCTTCCGGAAACAAATGCGAAGCAGGATTCGACCAGACTTTTATTCAAGTCTGGATTCTCCATTCCGTAATAACCGTGTGTGAAACGCCTCAAAAAAATATCTCTATCTTCCCTAACCCCAATGATTATATTCGTATCCATATATTTCCTATTTGCACTGCCGGCTTATTCGTGCTTCTGATTGAAGGAGGAAAGGTAGAAGTGTTTTTATTCATATTGAGCAAAGTCAATATTTGAAAAATCCTCTAATTCCGAAAACGGAAAGAAGACCTCTTAATTTGATTGGCAACTTTTCACATTTTCACAAAATCCAAAGCGACTGAACATAGGATAATCCAACCAAAGGACAAGCACCAAATACCAAGACAAGTAATCATTCTCTATCTATCTTCCAAACCAGTAAATATACCAAAGCAATACGATCCCTTTACAAATAGAACAAATTTCGAACAGTTCTAAACCATGAAGACTTCCAATTCCAAAATTCAACTTTCATTGGCCATCACAATGATGATTCCACCAATAGTGGTCTCCTTTACTCCTCCCACACTACGAAGCCGACAAACGAGTCTTCGAACTGAGACAAGGCTTTCTACCCCCTTCTTCGACCGGAACGATGGCATGGCGAATCGCTCCGAACTCGTGGATGCTAAAGATTGGATCGATGCTGCAGTCGCGTCTACCTTGAAATCAGGCGGATTTGACGAGTCTTCCTTCTTGGTGGGCATATTGGGTGACTTGCACATAGATCCTCGCAAAATGGAAGATTATGAAGAAGGTAAAAACGATTGGAAACCCATTTTTGAAGCTGCCCAGCAAGCCCATGGTAATACTTGCCTTGTGTCGCTGGGAGACTTGGGGGAATCAAAAAATTGTGACCACAACAAAGACAACCCAGCCGAGCTCTTTTCCGGTACTACTTTGTGCCACGAGATCGCGGCCGATTTCTTGGGCAACGTCGCAACTGGGGTACCATATGAAGTGATTGGCGGCAACCACGATCTCGAGGGAATTGACGAATTTGCTACTGATGAAGAGAACTTGGAAGCTTTCATGAAGGCCCACAACAAGCCAACTCCTCAGTTCTGTCATCAAGTGGCTGACAAGACCTTGTTGGTCGGATTAGGATCCACCGTCTTTCGAGATGCCCCTTACACTTCTCATGAAGTGATCATCGATCAAGCCCAAATCGATTGGTTTGAAGATTTGCTCAAGAACCATCCAGCCGACGACGACTGGAAGATCTTTGTGTTTACCCATGCTCCACCCAATGGATCTGGACTAAGAATCATTCAAGAAAACCATGTTGTCAATGGCTGCTGCTGGCTGAACCATTCGGATGAAAGTCAATGCAGAAAGTTCATTGAACTTGTGAGAGAACATCGATGCATCAAAGCCTGGTTCTCTGGTCACTTTCACTTGGGTCAAGACTATCAAGATTCGATCACATTCCCTACGATTCCCATAGAAGAAGGTCCCTATCCTCATCGAGGATCCTGTGTCTTTGCCCAAACCTCGGTCATGCGTAAGGGTACATCCCGAGACGGCCGTCAACAATCTCGATTGCTAAGAGGCAACAAGCATGGGTTCGAAATTTGTACTGTGGACCACCAGGAGGGAGGAAAGATTCGATTAGACGCGACCATTACATACTCCGATAACAGTAATGAAGTGGGAATCTACATGCATGACGACGCAGCTTACGAGCATGACAATTATTTCAAGGTGTACCAACCAACAGAAGGCGATTTGCAGTACGTTCGTGGAGCTGATACCGACGAACAAAGTTCCATTACCGATGATGATCCAGTCACCATGGACACCAAGGCTTGGTGGCGGTTATCGAACAACAGAGTCTTGGGTGTCTTAAATGGCATGCTGCTGGAATATGATGAATCGACCTTGGCACCCTTGGGTTTGGTCTTGACCAAAGAAGAATTGTTAGGCAACAGCATTACCGTGGTGGACTCTGGCATTGAAGATTGCTTTACTGAATTTGACGATGCAAGTGAGGGAATGGAAGGAGCCGAATGCTGCAAGGAACGAGAGCAAGCTATTTTGGTGCATGACTTGAAAACTAATAATGTTACCATTGCTCAGCCGAATGAGGATGGTTCGTATTGGCGCAAAATTGTTCGCAACAAGATTGCTCGTATGGAGGAAAAGCGACGAGAACAAGCTGCAATTCAATACATTCAAGAGCAAGCTGGACTGGACGATAAAGATGCCAAGACATCGATTCAATCGACCTGGGTAAGTGGCAATGGTTATGAAGATCAATTGTGTGCTGATGCCTTCTATCAGAGTCTAACTTTTGTATTCATGAATCAACAGGGACCATACACGTCGACCTCTGGAAACGCGCTGTAAAAGCCCGGTCGATTGATTCAATCCTTCGTTCGAGAAGCACCCACCGTCTAGTCGCTTCATTCGAAACAGGTGCAATCGAAGCAAAGAAGACTAATGGAACAGATACGTTATTCTGGTCTTCCTGTCTGCGTTCATCATACGTCTTCACTGTGGGCCTATACATGTATGCCCGATTGATGGAAGATATGTTCATCAAAGTCGCCTTTTCAAAGGTGGAGCAGACACCAGCACTGGAATGCACGGAATATGGCAACATCTGCTTTGATCCATGGGCAATAATTTGCTAAAAAATTGAATTCACTTAGCCACTTGCCATTGCACCTCGATGACTCTTGATTTTAGCTGCAGTAAGCCATCCGATCCCTTTCTTGAAAGCTCCAAAAGGGCCAGCAAAGAAGTGATGACAGCCTCGTTCATGCACAATTTACGCGTCTTAAAGTGTGAAGGATCAGCCCTTTCCTGAATCTGAACAGAAAACCCCAATCTTCTGCAACTGCTCTAATTGGTGCTCCGACAGTTCTGTAGATCCGTTTCCTTTGTATTTCTGCCGTTGATATTCTAGCCATCTGCGAAGTTGGGGTTCCTCCAAATCGCCTACTCGAACGTGCCCATGCTCCTCGCTAAACCTTACCAGTTCATCGTATTGCATCTGCCATTCTACTTCACGGTAATCCGATGTCCAAGGAAAGTCGATTCTCTCCAAGAGATACCTTTGCGATTTTAGAAGCACAAGCCCACGCAAATCTGTCCTGTGGTATCTCGCCCGTTGTGTTTGTCTCCATCTCCAAAGACTTTGGTTTTGCTTTTTTGACACCAAAAAGTGTCCATGTTCCTGCTGAAAATTCAGCATCTGATCATACTTCTCATACCAAGATCTCAATTGGGTTCCGCGGTGCAGCAGTGGGCAACCGATACTCTCCAGTAGTGACCTTTCCTCGAGAGAAAGTGGAACATATCCGTACGCACTCCTCACTCGGTTTCGTTGCTGTCTCATCCAACAATTCAGATCGGGATCATCTTTGTGGCTAGTGGGGAAGCGCCCATCGTTCTCCTTTTGATACTTCATAATCTTCGAGTACATTTCACTCCAAGCCAAACGAGGTAGCTTCTCGAAAAAGGGGAAGTCAATCTGCTCCAATAGTTCCAGTTCCTTTTCCGACAATGGTCTGTGTCCCTTGATTTCCTTGTACCGTTTTCCTTGCATCTCGATCCAGTTGTAAAGGCTGGGATTGTTCTTTTCGGTTACTCGAATATGACCATGCTCCTTGTAGAACTCTACTGCCTCGGTGTACTTTTCATGCCATGCCCGGTCCTTCCCGTCTAGTGACCAACAAAAGGATATCTCTTCAAGTTTCTCGATACATATATCCGTCAATGTCGGTATCATAATTCCATGATATCGCTTCCTTTGAACGTTCATCCAGTCATAAAGGTTCTGATGATCATCTGTATCGACCCGAAGATGACCTTTATCATCATAGTACTCCGCCAGTTTCCGGTACATCTCAGACCACGCGCAAGTTTTGGATTCCCATGAAAATCCTACTTTGTCTAATAAATCGATTTGTTCCTTTGAAACTTGGCCTCGCTCACGTTTGGTGCGCTGAAATATTACCCAGTCCTGTAATTTATTGTGCGTCGATCGAGCTGGATCACTATGTCCGTGATCTTTCTGGAACCTTACTAGCCTGTTGTACTGTGCATACCACCTCTCTTCATGTCGATTTGGAATCCAAGGGAATTCAATATCGTCCAACAGTTGTATTTGCTTATCGGATAATGAAGCACGAAGCTTCTTCTTCGCCCGTCTTTGTCGCTGATGATCAATCCAGCTATACAACTGTCCCCGTGCATCAACATGACAATTCCCATGTTTTTTTCGAAACTCGACAAGCTTCATGTAGTTGGCATTCCATACTTCATCGGCAAACTCAGATTCCCATTCGAATCCAACATTGTTCAATAGAACAATTTGAATCTCGGAAAGCTTTCCTTTGGTGCGTTTGGCCCGCTGATCGATCACCCATTTGCAAAGTGAAGAGTCCTCGTGGAGTCCCACACGAACATTGCCATTGCGCCTGTGATACTCTACCAGCTCGTGATACTTATTGTGCCATCCAGCTAGATTCCCATACAACTCGAAACCAATTTCCTCCAGTTTTCGGAAACGGACATTCCTATCAAATGTCGACAGGGCCATTCTACCCTGAATGGACTTCGACCGATGGTGGAATTCTGTCCGCTGATGCTGACAGAAGATCGCCAAAGTTGGGAACTCCGTAGTCAATTCTGTAGGAGCATTTTTAGGAAAGTTGCAGTGGCCATATTTTGCTTTGAACGACAGAAGTTGTTCGAATTGCTCATCCCAATCATCATACGGAGCAACATGTGTTTCTTCTGACATGGCTGTCTCATCAACAGCAGTTGACCATCGGTATGCCGTGGGGCGTTGGAAGGGCATTTGATGCCGCGAGGATAGAGAGATGACTGGATTCTTCTGCTGCAGTGCCACGGTTCGATCAAGTTGATAGGAAAGAAGAAACATCGTCAAAGTGGCCACCATGGAAAACGACACATATTGGTGCATGTGAGACCTCATTTTCGTCGTTACGATTGATAGGGGTCACTGATTCATTCAACGATCGTCATTACGATGATATTATTGGATGCGCATCGGACGGACGAGAAGATTTTAATTGATAGTCAGGGTGCGTACGTCGACCGCATGCTCAAATTCTGGTCAATGGTAGCAAGTGCAAAGTGCTAGTACGAGCCCGTTTGTGCAAGGTGAGGTCAATATCTGTTCTAGGAATCATAGCAACTGTATGGTAATTCGGCAATAAGTATTACATGTTTTAAAGTCTCACACAGATTTGATGAATTTTCGCCATTATTGATGACAATAAAAAGACTTTTGTTTTGGTTCTGAAAAAGCATTTTTCCGCATTCAAATTTGAACCGATTGATTGATTCATTCCATCAGCTCGAGATAGTCAAGAATGTCTCACCAAAAATACTCGCGTGCCCGGAAGCCGTTTCGGCCAATCGACACGTAGATTCTGGTACTTCGACAATTTTTCGTACGACCGCAAGGTTTGTTTAGAGCCAGTGATGACTCCATTTAGTCGAAAAGGAAGGAGATTTTCGTTGGATCTTGGAAACCGCGTAAAAAATGTTCAGAAACCAGGTAAAGGTCAAGACAATAAGAGGAGGTGCAAAGCAGCAGTCAACAGTTGCTCTGAGATCAGCGTACCAGCTAATCCAGCGCAAGACATCCTTACCTTTACATAGTTGTAGTAAATCACCATGACCACTTCAGCTAGTTGCATCACGAATCTGGCAGATGCCAACATTGCAATGGTTGCAGGAGCCACACTTGAACTCTGTCCCGGCACGTACGCAGTGGGTTCTCCCCTTGATGACACACTCACAACCTTTGCCGGAGGAATCCCCTTGATTATTGATGCTGACGATGTCACTGTTAAGTGTGGAATCAGCGGAGCATCAGCCAACGGGTGCATTCTAGAAGGTGGCTTTGCACAGATATGGATAGGAAATCCTAAGACTCCTTCTGCAACTGTCAACAATCTGAATATCTCTGGAATTACCTTTACGGGTGTCTTGGAAAGTGGTTTCGACGGGGAGCTGTCACCAAGAAATATTTATGGCACTGGCCAATCGAATCTTGTCACCATCAATGATTGTCTATTCACGGATATTACCACCACTGGATTTGTTATGGACATCGTTCCCGAACAAGGCCTATTGAACATGTCCATTGTGAACTCTGCCTTTACCAATGTTGCCCATGGTTTCGATGTCATTTTTGGAAGCTCAGCTTCGGACATTAAGTTTAACACAGTGACATTCACCAACATGACCCACATCCTCCCAGAAGACGATGTGGACGGGTGCGCAAATCTCACCGCAGCAACCTGCGCCTACTCCAGTTCCATCATCCATTTGGCATATACAACTTACACAACCCCCACAGTGGAGGAAAGCTTCGTTGACGTAACTGTGAAAGACAGTACATTTTACACGTCAATCCTTCGAACCCTTGGAGAATGGGGGTTTGGTACAATCATTGACACCTTTACCACTCTAATCACCGTCACAAACACAACCATTTACAACCAAGAGAACCGAACGGCCAATGATGATTACTGCGAAGGTGGATATGCTGCTGCTTACAATGCAACCACTGGAATTGATTGGAAATGCAAACGTGTCAGCTACGCCTTGGACGTGGTTGAAATCTTACGATGTGGTATCAATTGCGATGCCAATGGAAACTTTTCCACACTTTTTACAGCTTTGGCAGCAACTGGACTGGATGCCACCATTGCGGGAAACACAAACAATGTTGCAATCTTTGCCCCAACGGATGAGGCTTTTGAGCAACTTCCGCCGGGATTGTTGGATGATCTTCTTAACGATACGGCTACTCTCACACAACTCTTGTTATACCACGTTACCGTGGAGGATCCTGTCCTAACGGACGCAATTGCAGCTGGTCTCCCAGCAGCCAAGACAGTTCAAGGCGAATCAGTCTCCTTCACCCCTATCACTGCAACTTACGATTTTTACAAAGTTGACGAGGCTACAATCATTCATGCGGACTGGGAAGAATCCCCAGGTGCAGGAAAGGTCATCCAGGTCATTGACCGTGTGATCCCACCATCCACAATCACCATCTTGCCTTCCTTCAGCCAACTGGTGGAGAGTCTTAATTTGACCGAGTTCATTGCTGCTGGACAAGCTGTGGGATTTGACGCCAACTTGGATCCCGACAAGATTTATAGTAAGTACACCATTGTGCACGTGTGAGCAAGAACAGCTAGATATGAATCGATACCGTGAGGATTGGTTGTCTAACAACATCCCGCCCCCTACTCCCTTGTTCCATTTTCAGCTCTCTTTGCTCCAAGCAATGGAGCCATTCAAAACTCGAGTTCTACACAAGCATTGCTCTCAGCTTCTGACAAAACACCGCTTACCGAACTACTGAACCATCACTTTTTGGAAGGAAACTTTAGTATTGCCGATCTTCAAGCACAAGGCTGCTTGGACAAGACATCTCTTGCGTCCAAGAACATCAAGATCACCTTTTCCAACAGCGAAATCAGATGGAACGATGCCTTTACCAATACATCCACCGTAAACCAACTGGCCTACAACGGAATCTTGCACGTAATCGATGGCGTGCTGGATCCTTCCGACATTAAGCGATGCTCCAGTGCCGCAAGGGCTTCCATGTCCATTGCATTCGGCTTGGCCGGAACAATATTGGCAATCTTTGTGTTCTAATAGAAGAAAGCGTACAATATAACAAGTATGTATATATGTGGTGCATGCATGAGATATAAAATAATATGTGATCAAGTGAGATTTGTAAAAAGAAATGCTCTCTAAACTAGAGAACGGAATCCGGAACCTACAGTACAGTATATTCTAAATAGCAGAGATTTATTTCCGTTGTAGTACCGTAGCATATATTAAAATATTTGATATTTTATATATATAACGTAGGTACTATGCAGCTTTGACCCGTCGGCCTGCCGGCGAACATTCTCTTTTTCCCCCCATCTTGATGATTATGAGACCGCAGCATCATCACTGAATTTTTGAACTTCAATACGAAAAATAATATCATCACTGTAATGCGATTAATCTGAAGCCAAGAAAGCTAACCAACACCGTATCATACAGCGGTAGATTCAAGATTCAGATCTTAGACTTTTTCTGTAACGAGAAATCAATCGCATCATTCATGAAGAACGATTCTAAAAAGCGAACAAATACACAAAGCTTCGCCTTCACATATCAAATACTTCAGCATGTCCACCTGCATCTCCTCTCTGGCAGATGCCAATATTGCCATGGTGACAGGGGCTACAATCACCCTCTGTGAGAATACTAT